CAATCCTGGCTATTGCCTATTCCCCACACCATTGGGGCACGGCATCTCCAGGCACTTTCTCTTACATACCCCCCTTCTTACAACTTAACTCTATTAATGCTTAAGCCCTCGACGATACGGCTTCGAAGATACTCCCGTTTTACGTTTCGAATTACTATTCTCACCTCAACATTAATATGTATCGATATATCGGAAGGATAACTGAACTGGTCTGCTTGGCTTTCCTTGAACGTGCAGGCGTTTTACGGGAATGCTAGTATGACTTTGATAATAATATGGTGTACGATAGAATATTGATTGATTGATTATACGAATGAACTAGCAAGTATTTACTACTTTACATATAAGTGTATTTTCTACCGGGGAGTGGCATATGATGTGAGTTTACCTATGAGGTGTCCAAGCTTCGATAATCCCGAGTTTGTCGGCGCCGAACTATCGGTCTCGGCTGTTAATTTTGAGGCTGTTGGGGTTTAGTGTCTGAGGTCGTCCTATCTACCTACCTGTCATACTATTATCTGCCTCTAACATATCTGTCATATGTCGAAGTAGTTATGGTATGATGTCTAACCTTGACTGACTGACCGACTCCATTAACCTAGCTGATTGCTTCCTAGACGTTAGGTAGGTAGGTAGTCATCCTAGACGGATTTCCCAATCTGCCTACTAACCTAGGTTGGTCCCGTTGCTTACCTGAGAGTTATTGTGATAGCAATGGTATATTAGATAATTCGAAGTCATTGATAGATAGTGGGAGACGTACGTTGAACAAGCAACACAAGTCAAACTCACCTCCCTCTGCAACTTAATACATGTATAGAAGCACTGTCAACTATCTACAGCTTCCTGGTACGCAACAACCTAATAGTCACACCTATTCACATAATTATCCACTCCATTACCCACTCACCATCGAATACATCACATCAACAAAGTACACGCATGTACAACCTACCTAGACACTGGTATCATCATCAATAATGTCTATCTATGTACCTAACCTAATCTAATCTCTATATGCAAACCGTCCGTACTCTCCCGCCGCCTCACCCTTTTAAAACAATGCATACATACATCAGGTACCTAGTTAGGAGTTAAAAAGCCAACTATTCCCTAACCACCTCAATCTTCTCAATAACGTCCCCCCCAACCCGCGCGATCTCCGCAAGAATAGCATTCCTATTGACCTCGTACATTACACCACTACTATCCCCATCAGCATCCCCGCCACCCCCAGACGGCATAAGCGAACACGGCATATGCGCCGTAAACGCGCGCGGATGCAGCTGCGGGTTCCACAGCCCTCCGATCACAGCGTCGTCCGGGCCGCCGTGGAAAAACAGCAGGGGGCTGGAGTACATCGCGTTGAGCTGCCTGAGAAGACTCTGGGTGGGTGGTTCTAGCAGCGGGAGCGCTCTCATCCCCGTCTCCTCGTCGAGGTTCTTGTACTGCGAGCGCCTGGATGCGTCGCCTCGAGAGATGTTCTTAAGTGCTTTCGAGGACAGATGAAGTAGGACGTCGTAGTCGCGTAGCGGGGATTGGAAGAGACTTCGCATGCCGAGGTCGACTCCCTTTTCTCTGACGGCCTTGGACGCGGATCGCGCTAGGCTGGTCATTCGCGTAGCGACGACCTTAGTTGGGCCGTTGTGAGTATACGCGACGCCGCTTACATCGTGAGACGTAGCCACGAAGAGGATTGTGCGGTTCATATTGGGATCGATTTTTCGCCATGCCTTTAGCCGAGTACCGATTTCTAATCGTTGCGAGGTTGAAAGGGATCCTGCCGAGTCGACAACAAGGGGCTCATCGCGCCAGTCCCATCTCGATAACAACAAGAGCGTTCGAAGGAACCCGGTTATTGCGCTGGAGGGAGATTGCCAAGGATATGGCTTGAGGAACGCTTGTAGAACAAATAGCTCTATGACCTCTTCGTTAAAGTGGCATGATAGCTTGTGAGAGTTAAACCAGTGCTTGGTGAGGCGTATGGACGAGGATAATGCAGGGAATCTAGTGCAGAATGTAGAGACGGTTTGGTTGTGGAGTGGTAAGTTGGTATACATCCGCTTATACAAGGCGAGTAGCTCGGCAGCTTCAGTACGAACGTGACGCTCAATTGTCTGGTCCTTTGTGCGCCTGTCAAGTAGAGCCTCCTCGAGATCGCTAAATACGCGGAGTCTGAAAGAAGCACCATCTTCGTAGACTATGTCTAAGAATGCCAGGTTTTCGTCGTCGCGGGCTGTATTCTCTAGCCCAAGATGTGTCTTAACATCCTCCTTGACTTCTTCTAAGGAACTGGCAATTTTCAACAAGAACGCAATCTTAGCTCTCTGAATAGCCGCTAAATTTTCAGGCCATTTACCGGATACCTCAAAAGAAACCACAACCTCCATTGGCTGTAGTAGAGGCTTTCTGAAGTTGAATTCTGGTACGGATAGTGATGTACGCCGTAAAGCTGTGCTGATGGGCGCTACTTGCTTTACATGCAATGGTAGGTTCTCTAGATTGCGAATATCTCGCTCAAGATTCTCGAACGCTTGTTTAGCGGTATCAAATGCCACCTTTTCCGATGGTGCAAATGATATGACTTTGGATATATCTTGCCCGTAGAACTCAAGATCGCCATCCCCTACCTGGAGCCGTAGCTTCAGGATGTATCGTATAATAGCCTCGCATATTCCGGGGAAGCCCAGGTAGCTATATTCTGTCCAGTCGAGGCTCTCAACAATATTCCCGTCAGGAAATTGCCAAAGATCTGCTTTCTCGCCCCAGAACTCACGAAATTTAGCCGATTCTTTCTTCTCTTCATACGGTGGACCATAATCACGACCCTGAGATGCCTTTAGGGGATCTATGATAATCCCAACGAGGAGGCTTGCCTTTTTCGTCTTCGGCATACTTGCCGAAACTGGCCACGTCGCCGTCTCTGGTATGCTAATATGAATCAACTGTGCTCGCTCGCCTAACGCCTTTTTTACCGTGTTATATAATTTCGTGCTGAAATCGCAAACAAACCCTTTGCGATCGATCGATTCGACCCCTTTCTTCGAGGTGGGAAGTTTGACACTCAGCAGTATATCAAATGTCTGTAGAGGTTGGTCGGCTTTAACAATGAATAAGGGATCGAACTGGTCATGTGGGCTGTCGTTGATTGCAGAAAGCGACCACTTGGCTTGTTCGGTCAGCATGGCTATAGACCATGGCGTCATTTTGTAGAGGATGTTTATTCCGCGAGCCGTATCATGTAGGACTGGCATCGCCTGACGAAGAGAGTCTGTATCGATAGGATCCTTGCCGACAACCAAAGCCTTCTTCTGCAAGTTCGCCGAAACGATGAATTGCAGAGTAGCCTTGAATAGCTGTGTGCTATGTAACGAAGGCGAAAGCACCGCTTCTCCTTTTCGGCCTCCGCTCTGTAAGAGAAGAGCCACCAAGACTGCCCATTCGAAATGACCAAACCCGCCATTGCTGATATTACCGCTGAATCCACGCTGCTGGAGCCATATTCGCCCTAGAACGCATGCATCTTTAAACGCAGAACAAGACTTTACAGTTCGAAATAGCAATCGCAAATAAGAGGGAAATAGGCCCTCGGCTTTGAGAGTTGTGTTATAAAAAGGTGTAGGCGCCTTCTTGTCCTCACCTCCTTCAGATTTGCCGGGTCGCATAGCATTGCTGACTGCCGTGAGTTTTCCTGCTGGGAAGTAATCTTCTGGAGCGCATGGGATTATGCGAATTGGTGGGATCGATTTTCGACGGGAATTGGATTTCTCTGAACCATCGTCTCTGTTCGCGGTGTTTTTTGGTCGAGCAACCAGTATTGGTAATAACATGTTCCCATGCATGTGATCGAAAGTGAATTCAATAGTGGTACCCAATTCTTCGCGAAGATCAGCGGCAATATAAGCCAGGTAGTATGCCCTTTTATAGAAATATCTCATGTTCAAGTAGTCTTTTTCCTGGAAGATGGAGGAAGGCATAACAACGATCATGTCAACTGCCATATCCGGTTGGGATTTTATGTTGGTCTTCAGAATCCAGCTGCCGGCCACGTTGACCTCAGCTGGCTTGTCGAAGGAGAGCTTATACGGGGCATCTTTCGCGGGTTGCGGATCAGGATACGGAATGGTAATTCGATTCGTCTTGTCAAAATTCGTCGACACATCATTAATCTAAAGGAGCGAAATAGACATGGAGGTTAGATGTGCACGACATTAAGCCGGATGGTCTCTGTAAGGGATTGGACTCACGGGAAGGGGTTCGTGAGGTTCCGAAGCTTCAATGACATCTTTGAGCTGTCGCAAGATATCCTCGACATCAGAAGAAGTTTTGCCATAATCGAATTTCACTTCCTTTAGTAATTCTTCCGTCTCTAAGACGAATGCGCTTGCGCCGGAAGCACCCATGGTTGAAGTTGAAATTGTCGCATTTACGGCTTCGAAAGTTGGACCACTATCTGCATGTTCCAATTTGCGTCGCTTTGCCGTGTTGGGCTCCATTTCGTATTCGAAAGGGTCCGAGATCCGAGAAGTGAAAGCGCACGGATCTTGTTGTTGAAGTTGCCTGTAATTTTGACAGCACTGGCCCATTCGATGTTTGAGTTCCCATCCCAGGATCCCAAACTTCAAAAAAATTACTAGAGTCGCAGTATCGATAAGGATATACGTTGTGGCTTATTTATTATTGATTGTGGCTAATAGAATTGATAGGTAGGTACCTAGGCTAATGGATACCTACCTAGGTACATGGATCCCCCAAATCTTGCATGATCCTCCAACGTCATCTGCCGAATTGCTGCTGTACCCTGTGTTTACATAATCCTTAAATATGTAGGTAGCAATTGATTGCCGCTATTTTCCGAGTTGAAAACAAGCATTGCAAAGCCGCAGTTAGGTAGTTTCCGCAGTGACGAATAACCCAATTTTCTTAGGTATAATACAATAATGCTAATATAACAATGCTAATACAACGATGCGATGCGCCTATGTAAATCTAACCAATTTCCCCACGCTCCGCATTGCCCGCTCTGCTCTTGAACTGCCGCTGGTTGTCTCCGGCGCATACAATCGCGGAATCTAATTTACCCCATCGGAACATACCTCCTTTTCTTCATAACTAACCGTAAGAGCATACCAAGATGACTCAAAGATGACTAGCCCGTGGGTAATATCGAGTAAACCGTGTAACTATCTCTGTTAGTCGTGAGCGGCTTAGTTGAGTTCATCCCTAGCCGAGCACTGCCGAGCGCGGAGACCAAGTAAATATGTACAAGGAACATGTCTTTTCCGCTTAGAATAGAAGGTTCTTTTAATTCTTTCGTTTAATTTCTTGTAATAGACTATTAGCGAGTCCGGCCATTTTGTTGGTATATGTACTCATCCTGAGCCGTGTTCGACGTCGACAGTTGTTCATCCCTGTTACGTAGACGATTATACTAACACTTGCCGCAATGCCTTCCGCAGCCGTGTGCATGAGAACGCTGAGAGCATATTCTCGCTACGGCTCGAATGTTAGTGAAGCAACTTATCCAATACATTATATAACAACATCGATTAATTGATCTTTTAGCATGCTAGGATACTTGCTAGGACGTTCTCGGCGACGTCTAGGCGCGCCGAGATTAACAAGGTGTATCCGTCTGCCACTGAAGCTTTAAAAGATATGAAACCAGATTCTACATTATTATGTGGCGGTTTTGGTCTCTGCGGCGTTCCGGATACTTTAATCAACGAGGTTCTGAAGAAACCCGAAATCACAGGCATTACAGCAGTCTCAAATAATGCCGGAACGGATTCCTCTGGCTTGGGAAAACTCTTGAAGACTAAACAGATTAAGAAGATGATCGCTAGTTATATAGGCGAGAACAAGACGTTCGAGCAGATGTACCTCACAGGTGAAGTTGAACTGGAACTCACGCCTCAAGGTACTTTGGCCGAACGATGTGCCGCTGGCGGCAAAGGCATCCCGGCTTTCTACACCCCTGCGGCTTTCGGCACCGTAGTACAAACCGGCGAGCTACCCCTGAAGAATAAGAGCGACGGAACTCCTGACGTGTTCTCGTACCCGAAAGATGTGAAGGTCTTCAACGGCAAGTCTTATCTTCTGGAACACGCTATTGCTGGAGACTACGCCTTCGTCAAAGCCTACAAGGCAGACAAGCTCGGAAATTGTCAGTTCCGCCTTGCTGCTAACAACTTCAACGGAGCCATGGGCCGAAATGCCAAGATGACCATCGTCGAAGCCGAACACATCGTCGAGCCTGGTGAGATCCCGCCCGAAACAGTTCACTTACCAGGTATCTACGTTAAGAGGGTCATCCAAAGCGCCGCGGAGAAGAAGATCGAAAAATTCACCTGGACGAAGGATGAAAACGACGCAGATGCTAAGAAGGTGCTAGGCTCGGGCGACACGGCGGCTAAGAGGGAGAGGATTGTTCGCAGAGCGGCTAAGGAATTCAAGAACGGCATGTACGCAAACCTAGGAATAGGTATGCCTATGCTTGCGCCCGGATTCGTGGGCCCCGAAGTCGAGGTGCAACTCCAGTCCGAAAATGGTATCTTGGGTCTTGGACCATATCCAAGGCCAGGCGAGGAGGATGCCGACCTTATCAATGCCGGAAAAGAGACCGTAACACTAAAGCCCGGTGCCGCCGTCTTCGGTAGCGAGGAAAGCTTCGGTATGATCCGTAGCGGCCGTATCAACTTGACGATCTTAGGGGCCATGCAAGTCAGTGCTACGGGTGACCTTGCGAACTGGATGCTGCCCGGAAAGGTCAAGGGCTTTGGCGGAGCGATGGATCTAGTTAGCAACCCGAGCGCAACGAAAGTTGTTGTTACGATGGAACACACAGACAAGAAGGGTAACCCGAAGATTGTCAAACAGTGTGCTTTCCCCTTGACGGGCCGGGCTTGCGTATCTAGGATCATTACTGAGCTGGTAAGTATCTAACCTAGTAGCTGGTCTACATATTTAGACCATGTGATTTTGCTAATACGGATGTTTCTTAGGGAGTGTTTGATGTTGACTTTGCACACGGCCTTACGTTGATCGAGATCGCGGATGGCGTGACGGTGGATGAGATAAAGAGCAAGACCGAGGCGCCATTCCACGTTGCGGAGGATCTCAAGCCGATGCTATGAATTATGGGGATATAGGTGTAAATATTAGGTACATGTAGTGCAAAATGTATACCATGGATTGATTTCTGCAGAATAGGTACTTCGAGGTTAAGTTGCATGGAAGTAGTGGACCTAACCTAACCTAATATCCCGAATAAATGGAGGAAGGAGGAAGGAGGAAGTAACGACCTGGACTTAGAAGGTGGGGCGACGTGAACTTAGGTATGCAAGTCCATACCTCTCAACCTCTCAACCTCTCAAAACGCGACAATTGCATCCACAAACCAACCTTGGACAAAACAACAATATGTAGGTATTCAGTTTACATTATCCAGGTAAACACACTTATATCAGCATGTCTCAACCTACCAGGTCCGGTCCTGCGTATACCTACGACAACGCAGCTGGGGTGGGATTTCTTCATGGGGAAATACATCCACTGAGGCATGCTGACACCGAATGGCACCGCCGTCCTCCCAGCCCAGGCTTAGGCTTGGTCGGAAGGACACCAGCTAAGAAGCCAGGCTGTAGTAAAAAGGGGGCCCGCAGTTTCCTTGATATGATAATAAGAGTCGTCGCGGACAATGCTGCCGCTCTCGAGATAGGACAATTAGACGACGTCCCTTTTCGAATCACATGCCGCGTTTGGGACCTCCTTGTTCGAGACTGCCAGTAAGCCTTCTAAGCTCGGTAGTTATGTTACGCTTCTCTAGTCAATGTCTAGTCAATGCTAACCAACCCGTGTTATCCCAGGCCTATACCGTTGCAATCATATATAGTTCTCGCAACGTGTCTTGCCAAGCAACACCGGGAAGGTGAAAGGTCTGGGCCAATACCGGGACGTGTTTTTCACTTCAATTATGTCGTGTCATCTCCGTTTGGGTCTTTTCAGACCTACTTAAAACCACTTGCGTCCAACTCTTTCGACTTCATCGTACATCTCACTTTCGCCCATTGTAACACCTCGTTCTCTGAACACGAATTTCTATCGCTGGCACTTCTCAAAAATCTGGGCGTGCTGGAAATATTGCAGCCAAAGCGTTCGAGTATCCAAATATTCCCTCGCATAACTGACTCCATAATCAGACACTGGTCCGATGTGCCAAACCCGTTCCCCTTCCTTCGAGTCTTAAGAATCTGGGGGTATGATTTCACCACGTGGAGATCGTTAACTTACCTCTTAAAGTTCCCCTCTCTTGTCGTTTACGACGTCGCCGGCTGGCGTAGCGACTGGGACCAGCAAATGCAACTTCTAGACCCTAATTGGTACTGTCATAGAAATTGGTACACTGCCGAGCCACACGATCGCACGTTTAGATACTTTAATACGCATTACCCAAGCCCAATCCCACTCACGGAGCTTCATGATGATCCTGAAACGGGACGTCCTGTAAGTTATGGGGTGCAAAGTTATGGGATGCTAGGCATCCAGGCCCAGAGCGTTAAGATCCTAAAGAGGGATCATATACCGCCTCAACCCAATACGCCGGTATCAGAAACGTATAACCTACGCCCAAATATTTGTCTTCACTATTTGACATACGTGCTTTATTGCCAGATTGGCCAATTTTGGTCAGATAGCGACTTTGCTGCACAGGGCGTGAGTGATACTGATAAGGCCGCTGTTACATCCAGCTCTCATTTTATTCCATCCAGGCCTTACATCTCGATAAACTTTGGTTCGTGCTGCAAGCATATGATTGATGGATTAACGGAGAAGTTCCATCCCACCCCGAGTCCATCACGCCCTTGCGAGGATCATGACACTCTTTTTCAGGCACACTACACTTTTATACGAAATAAGAATGACATGGGAGAAAGCGAGAATCAATCTAGTTCAAGCCCCGGACTATCCGGTAACGACGGCTCATCCGGCAAGTCAGCTTCCAACCCAAGGCTACGAAAGAAACGGAAGATATTTTCTATGGAGGATCTTTAGGTTAAAAGCGGATGCTTGATTACATTTATGCGTAAAGGGTACACCACAACTTCGACGGCTCCTTGCCCTATGATGCCTTTTAGCGTTGATGGTTACCGGGCTGTGGTTATAGGAAATGCGGACTAACGTATGGCTCACACTGAGTTGGCAAGCAAGACGCAAATGGGTGCGCATTGCAAAGCACTATCTAATGTAAGTTGCCGCAAAATCTCTCTTATAAACTTATGGTTAACGGCACGCCTAGACCGAAGCAATCCCGAAGATCAATGTCCAGAACTCCGGCATTATTTGATGGCTTTCCCGAGAATTGGGAACTATACGGCTAGGATGATGCTTAAGAAGGTATTAGCTACGAGTATTGACACCAATAACCTAGATACTTCGTGGATACATATAGTACTATTGTACTATATAACGAAGGCGGTGGGTTATAATTGCTATGCTATTAGAAAAATACATTCATTGTAGTCCAGCACGAGAACTAATTGGAAAGCGTTGAACAGTTCCAACTTAGGACCTTCATCACTATTTCCCTATGATCTTCTCTTATCTACCTAAGCTTTGACAAGAAGAGACTAACCTAGAACCATATATTATGCTATAATTCATTTATTCAATTGCATTTCATCTTCACATACACACGCAGATCACGTATGATACACCTCATAATCCCATCCCATCTCAAGAATTAGCATACTCAATCGTCAGCGCAACACCCGCGCAATTCCACCCGTCTACAACCGCCGTCCCGTCCCCATCGCTCGTGATATCCAGCCCTAACCCACACCCAACCCAGTACTCCTTGGCTCCCTGCGCACAGGCCAGCGTCGAAGTGCCATTAGTCGCAGACGTGGAGTTGGTCCCCGGGCTTTCGCTAGTAACACACTCGAGCGGCGCATACCACCCCTGCCGGTCGTTGTCCATGTCCTCCAGCACGTGCGGCTCGACGAAGTATACGGCGCTGCCGGGGACGTCGGGGCGCGCCTCGGCGATGGCTACGACGGTTGCGTTGTCTGCGGTGGTTGTTATTCCTGCTGTTGCGTCTGTGTCGCTGCTGCTGCTGGATGTTGAGCAGAGGTATTGTTGGTGGCCGGAGAAGGAGGAGGGGGAGGGGGAGGAGGATGAATTGGTGGTGGTAGGGGGAGAAGAAGGAGAATAAGAGCTGAAGGAGAAACGCGAGGCGCGGCCCGACGACGGGTTGAAGAGGACTCCCGTCCCGCTGATTTGGAGGTACCAGCCGTCGAATGGACTGCCGGGTTGGGAGACGCGGATGTTGAAGGGGGGGTTGTTAGTGGGGGAGGAGGAGCAGAAGGGGGTTGGTGTGGATGTGGGAGAGGATATGGGAGAGGTGGTGGTTGTGTTGGCGAAGCGGATGGAACTGGTGGCGTTGAGGAAGTGTGGGGGGGCGATGGTGGTGGTGGTGCTGTTGGTGCTGTTGTTGGTGCCGTTGGTAAAGGGGAAGATGCGCGTGGAGTTGAGGAGGGGAGCTAGAATGGTAGTGTTGGATAGCTTTGTTGGGCCGGCTGTTGTGTTGGCGGCTGCGGTACGGGTAGAGTTTAGGAATGGCGCTGAAGCGGAAGCGGCGGTGATGTTGCCGAGGGTGTTCATCGTGCCGGCCGTGCCGCTGTGGAAACCCGTTACGCTTGCTGCGGTAGGCCGAGTTACGGTGCCGTTCGAGTTTAGAAATCTGCCGGTGCTTGTTGTTGTTGTAGTGTTGGAAACGGCTGAGAAGCTTGCCGTCTTATTGAGTCGGGTAGTGTCGTTGATGGTAGCGGGTGAGCTTGATGTGGTGGATGCCGTAATAGACGCGGTGTCGACTCCGATCCTAGTACTTGACGCATCTTCCGTTACGGATGGTCTCTTTAGCCTGTGCTTGTCTGTAGATGCCGTTGAGTTGCCGAACTTTGCACTTGTTGAATTTACATGCAATGATGAGCTATTGACGTATCTCGTAACGTTATGGATAGCTGTGGCCGTTGCGGTCTCCACGATCCGGACTACACGTGTAGTACTCGGTGTTGGCACGGTCGTCGTCGTGGCCGGAGTAATACCGAGACATGAGCACGCTGACTCGTAGGCTGCGGATGAAGTGCATAGAGACGCATATTCTGGGATCGAAGTGGCTTTGGTTGTATCTGGACCCTTGTTGCTTACAGCTCTACCAAGTAGCATATCGACTACTTCGTGCCGTTCCAGCCATCGTTTTGACGGCTCCGCGGAACTAGTTATTGTTTGCGTGGCTGTCCTAGTTGTAGTTCCAGTTGTTGTGACTACGATAGTACTGGAGATGATGCTATTTCCATCGTCAGTCCTTTGCTCCCTAAGCTAGCTTATATTCCCCCGGGTTGATAATACATACCTAATAGCTGGAGTTACTGTAACTCGCATAAACGACTTGCAATCCTCTTCTTGCAGCGACGGAACCGCCTCCTGAACAGCTAAATTGTTAGTGTTAGTATTAGTATTAATACCTATGATATAACTACCTACGTAGGTTAAGACTTACCTCGGAGACATTCATCAACTGTATCAACTGTACATTCTTCTGCAATAGCTCCCGTCGTTAACGCCAAGGCTACCGCGACAAAAACATCCAAGACACGCATCTTCTATTATTTACCCAGCCTGATCAATCGACTCATGTTCGCGTTATACCTACACGAGAAGACGTCGATCATTGTGACTTTAGCTAAGACCCGCATGACAGCAGCTATCGTCTTTTTAAGATGGGTTCTCAAACGTCGAAAAACTTGGAAGACAGCGTCGCATTTGAAATTGGACTTTTATGCGGAGCTTCCAAGCAATGACGCCGTGACGGCCTCGCTAGCTTCCTTGGGGCCAATGGCGTGAAGTATTACCCCTAGGTTAGTCTACCAGTCTACCTATGTAAAGCTAGACCCTTGCGGCTTATAAGTGGCATGTTATTATGGACTCGATCTGTTATGAGATCGGACTCTTCGTAGCACTCGTCATTCGTGAATGAGTATCTTCAGATCGTTTCGAATGTGACCTCTGCAGAACACGCAACTGTCGAGTCCATTTGATGCCGCAGAACTAAAAGTAATAATTAGTACAATACATAGCTTAACTACCAGGTAATTAGGTAGTTACAATAACTTATTATGAGTTAACTACGACATTACTGAACTGAATAGTTAATAATAATCAAAGCCCGGTTATACTCTTTACATAGTAGACCATGTTTACGGAATACACCAAAAACACTACAATGATATCAAAGTTGCTTCTGTATGAGAATTATATAGGTACCTACCTTAGGTACTCATATTATAAATATTTATAAATAAACATATCTACAAGAACTCGGACTACATAAACAAGGCCTTGGCCTTAGTCTCACCGTGAGACTCCCATCATCATCACCATCATCTATACCGTATCTCCATCCACCATATAACACATTCCCTCACCCGTAGCACTTGACCCATAGACGCATCACACCCACCCTATACACCTTATCTTAGAAAACCAGTCAACCCCCCAATCCACCAACCCCTAAATCTTAGTCCTCCACCCCCTCCCCGTCCTCCTCATCCTCACGAACCGCGCGCCGGACAGCAACATAGCACCCACGAGCAGACTCGCCCCCGTAAACCCCTGCGCGCCCTCGTACCGCCCACCCATGCTCCCGACAATCGCCCCCGCGATCGGATTCCCCGTGAGCACCGCAAAGCTCACGATCGTAAACGTCATGCCCATGCGCGTCCCCTGCTTGCGCAGGTCCGTCGTCAGGCTGCTCAGGCCCGCGGGGAACAGGCTCTGTATCGCGCCGGCCACGATCCCGTACGCGACCGCCCACCCGTATAGCTGAGCGGGCGTGTGCACCGCCATCCAAGCGAGCATCGTGGTCCCGCACCCCACGCACGCGGGGATCATGAGGTTGAGCGGCCCGAAGCGGTCCGCGAGATGGTTCGGTAGGAGGCGGCCTAGAAGGCCCACGCCGTTTAGGATGAGCAGCAAGTTCAGCGAGTCAGTGTAGCCCAGCGTGGGCGTGATTTCGGACCGGCTGAAGGCCGCTAGATAGTAGAAGCCGAAGTACACGCCCCAGAAGTTGAAGAACATGCCGATGGCGTAGAGCGTGTACTCGGGCTCGCGGAATGCCGCCCATTCGACCAAGCTGCCTGTGCGCCGGGGCGGCAGCCGCGACTTCATGAAGGACACGGCGAAGATCAGCGTAGTCAGCTGTACGAACCCGATGGCGCGGACGGTCCATCCGAAGCCGACGGTCGGGAGCAGCTGGCGCGCCATGGCTGGGAAGATCAAGCCGCCGGTCACAGAACCGCAAGCCGTGAGACCGATGGCGAGGGAGCGTTTCTTGCTAAAGTAAGTCGACACGGTGGAAATGAACGGACAAAACACGCACCCGCTGCCAATGCCCATGCATAAGCCTTGCGAGAGGATGAGCTGCCAGTACTGCGTCGCGACCGAAGTAGTGAAGATGCCGAGGGTCATGAAGACGATGCCGCAGATAGACACGGGCCGGAAGAACCCGGCGTCGGTGAAGCGTCCGGTAAAGGTGCCGATGAAGAAGGTTAGGAACACCTGGATAGAGCCGATCCATGATATGTCCGAGGGCGGGCGTCCGAGCTGCGCTACGTAGTACGCCTGGAACACGCCGAAAGAGTTGATGAAGCCCCATGTATTCATGAGGGCGAAGTGCCCGCAGAGACCTGGTGTTGTGCCCGAGATTAGAAGATCGATCCTAAGCAATTGGATACTCTGGTAGCCTAATAAATGTTGGAAATCAATAGTAGTAAAGGAGGCTTACATGCGAGCCACGCGACTTTGCCGCCGTCCGGCGGCGGACCAGGGTTCCAGCTCGATTTCGTCGATATCCTACTCAACACCCGGCCTACGGCTCCGGCCATGCCATCGGCATCCGGGTTGAAGACATCGGGCTCGGGTGGTACCTCCCAGTCCTCCGCCCCCTCGGCAGGACTATCAATATTCATATCCCCATCCCGTATACCCTGGCTAGAGACTTCAGCTCCTGCGGGAAAAGGGATCGCCTGCTTCTCGACGTCCACCGGAAGCTTGCCTTCGCTAGAACTAGGCGACGGAGAAGGCGCCATTATCGCGAGCGGCTGATTGTCGTATCGTATCGATCGGTGTAAATCAGAAATTTCCTTGTCTTGCTGTAAAGCCCTTGTATGCCGAACTCATCTTAAGATGAAATAAGTACCTAAACTATATGGAATAGAATCCTTAAGTTACCTTACGAATAGATACTGGATTGTCTATATTTACTCTTCCTCTAGATCGTCAGCTACCTTATGTATAATATAACAACAGCCCGTGGTGAGTCAACCGATATTGAAACAAGAATCAGAGGGGGACCAATTGCACTAAAATCTCGGTAAATCTACTTAACAAGAAGGCCTTGTTCACCCGGGCACCGCCGGCTATCGGTCTCACACCGCTCGGGCAGAGAGTGAGTCTAAATACAACGGGGTTTAAAGCGGAGACGACAAAGGCATTACGAGCGTGTAGACGGCGTAAAACTATGGGTTTAACCACGCCTTGCCCTTAGGTCCGCAAGGGAGCGGTGGCGGAGAACGGGAGAGTCACCGAAATGTAGCTTCTTTAAGACAAGCTTCAAGTTGAATCCTGAGATTTGGTTTTCTATGAGTCTATGACTACAACATATATATTTCCGCGGCGCGCCGATACCTTCTAATCAAACCCTTTTAAACAGAATTCATAATCAAACTCTATATTTTCCCCTAGAATTTCACGTGTATCACTCATAATAGAGCCGGCCTTCCGAATCCCTTGTAGTCTCCAATAATCCTGGTAGTCGTATATGGAAATAGTTTACGAGCTCATCCAACAGAGTGAATTATTCCCGAAACGTCTATAACACCCGCCCCGCACTTAATTTCCCTCCACTTAAATAACTATCCTGTATGGAAAAGCTAATGGTTAGTGTAGAGGCTCAAGCAACCATCAACATAACGTGGGTCGATGGCCTTATGTTCCTTCGCACTACGTAAATATTTACATATCATCATACATATATTTTCCGATATCGCTGGTGACTCGGCTGTATGTACGCGTACCGAGGTAGTCTTGAGGTTGGGCATCATATTATACTTGAAGGGATAGTTCATTCAGTACATAAGATGAGCGAGCAAACATGGACATCGAGCGATGGCTGTATAGCGACTCAGCACATGAGAATGCATTTGTTAGCCTCGTATCTAGGCGAATATGTCTGGTGACATTCCTCCCATCTAATGTAAATGATTAAGTCATGATAGTACATGAGGACAAAGAACCCACCAAAAATGCCACCACGTTGGACTTCATCTCTTCCATCTCCTCCCACATACCTATTATCCCATAGTCTGGGGCAATAACCCCATCTACAACTGGGCTCCTGTTACATCTCAAGAAAACCTCCTGGCAAGTAGCAAACTAGGACAAATGTTTAAAGGGGGCGCCCACTTGTGGCACTCTAGCGCGGTGATTCAACCACGGAACAAAGCAAAGTCTAATAGCCTCGATCTCGGTTTTCGGCCACTAGAAAATCCATCACGTTTGCGAATAGAATCGCGGACTTTAGATCGGCAGATGGCCTTCTCGCACTGGTTATCAGACCATCCAAGGGCGAGATCATCTGCCCACCAGACCTTGGCCTTCTCGTCCACCTTGAGGGCAACTTGGACTGATGTCAAGACGTCAAATCCCTTGAACACAACTGGAACAAGTTCGCAATGGTCCGTGCTAGTACATGCTGGGACGTCGACTGTCAGCCAAGCTACTTCCTTCTCCTGCTGGGACTGTTGGTCGAATCGCAGTCCTGTGAAGTTGAAAACGCAAGGAGAATCCTTGGAGTCGCAACCAAGACTGAAGCCGTTGAGATTGAATGAGAAGCAGGAAGACGAGGCTTGGGGTCCGACACTAATTCTTGCTGTGTCTCGGGGCACATCGGGGTCAGACAGGTTCGACATGGACGATGGTGTAAATTGGAGCATCAGATTTCCGGACGATGGTACAAACGGAGTGGGAGGTGGGGGAAGGACGCTGAATCCTTGTGAGAAGTAGAACCGATGGTGTGGGCTCAACATTGGCATCGGGCTAACATCGTGAGGGTCTATACCAGATCCGACCCCAAGGGGTGGGATATCATCGAACTGGTTACAGTATTAGTCGTTACTTGACACTATTTGACGATAGGACACTCGCCACTTACATTGAGCGTGAAGTCTCCCACATCAGCTTTGTTCCCACAAGCAGTTGACGAAGGTGCCTCACTACCAGCGGTCGATCTGGGGGCTAAGCTAGGCGACCTCACAATAACTGTTGACAACGTAGAGGGGACAGGCAGTTCTAGGTTATCTCGGACAGAAAAGGCATATCCTCCAGCATTGGGAGTCTGGCTGGGGGCCGCGTTTGCGTTGCTTGGCTCTAGTGTTGCTACCTGAGCGCACCATGAGAATGTCCTCGAAGACATCGTCAGCGTAGTCATTGATATGCATTCGACAGTAGCACCAGTAGGGAGCTCTGATGCAACTTCAGAAGCTGTCGTGGCGGGAAATGATACCGGCGGTGCGGAAACAGGTGGTGGTAGATTGGGCATGGGCGAAAGGGACACCGTAGGGACGGACTCCGACTCGGTGCATGATGTCGAGATGGCTACAGGAGAGTCAGCGCTGGATGCAGTTGCATTCCACCCATTAGTTGGCACGATGGACCATGGGGTTCGTGAAGAGGTGGACGTGCCAGTTGGAAGATCTCCCGACCTACCAGTGCCAGAAGTCTCATCGCATGGGATAGAGCCGCTGTGGGCCAGAGGAGTCCCGGTTTCTATAAGTAGTATATTCAGCCGTCATTCTATTTTCTGTCTTCGGGGAGGCTTGGGAGTGCGAAATAAATAATGGGTATGATCTTACCTGTTGCTGATTCCTCGGGAAGTGTCACAGTGTGGGTTAGGACGCCTGGTCTGGTCGATACCTTGGTGATAGTCTCCGAAGGACTCACCCCTGCGCCGGTATTCGAAATCCCTTGTCCTCCGGCTCCGGCTCCAGCCCCGGCTGACCCGCTAGCTTGAGGTGTTGGATGGCCGGCTCCGTATCCCCCAGGCGGAATTGAGTCAGTGAGTGTAGCAGCACCAGAGCCCTGACCGGCACCAGGATTGACCGAAGATGCACCAGAACCTGCAGGTGGTTGTCCTGAAGGGTTTCCTCCATAACCTCCTGGGTTTGTAACAGTAACAGTAACTTCACCAGACCCGACAGGAGTGGCATATGGCAAAGACGGTGAGTTAGAAAGGCCTTGGCCCCCCGCACCACCATTCGGTCCTGCTGATGGGGCGGTCACGGTAATTGTAGGCAGAGAGCCGCCGGCCCCATTACCTCCATTGCTGCCGCCGCCAGCTGCAGAGGACTGTGGTGATGATCCACTACCCCCATTACCGCTACCAGATCCCTCAGATGGACTTCCAGGTGCTGTAACAGTGATAGTTGGGGGAACACCCTGGCCACCTGGACCTCCAGATGGGTTTGCGGGAACAGTGACGGTGATTGCTGTTGGTGAAGAGCCAGCGCCTCCATTGCTTCCGCCAGGGCCGTTGTTGGTGCCGGTGACAGTGGTAACATACGGGTACGAAACTGAACCGGATTCACCCGTGGTGCATGGTGTTGTACTCTGGCCATTGGAACCTCCGGGCGACCCTCCAGGATTACCTGCTGATGCACCTGGCGCTGTGACAGTGATGGTTTGGGGAACGCCCTGACCACCCGGACCTCCGGGCCCGCTCGCAGAGCCGCTTGGGGATTCACCTGGCGCTATTAGTATGATATCCTGCGGGGGGGACTGGGTTGTTCTCACCTCCAGGGCCTCCGGATCCCTCACCAGTGTTGCTTGGTAACTGTCCTGGTGCTGTCACGGTAATAGTATAAGGAATACTCTGGCCACCGGGACCACCGGATCCACCTGCAGGGTTACCTGACGGTCCACTGGGAACTGTAAAAGTAATGGTTTCTGGAGCACCTGGAGTAATTCCAGTACCAGTGACAGTGATGACAAACGGAGCGGAACCCTCTCCCGTACCCGATGACTCACCGGGAGCTGTTAGAGTGATAGTATGAACGTTGCTGCTGCCTCCCGAACCTCCCGAACCGCCAGAAGGATTGCTAGGGGATCCTCCGGGGGCAGTGATGGTAATCGTTGGAAGGGCCGTTGAAGGGAGGCCTTGACCGCCTGGTCCTCCAGCGCCGCCACCGGGAGCACCGCCAGTGCCGGTAACTGTAATGACATTCGGGTTGGAAGAACCGGATCCACTTCCCTCTGGGCATGGCGAAGTTCCAGAACTACCAGGAGATACGCTCGGGACTGTTACTGTAATGGTTTGTGGAGTACCTTGCCCACCTGCACCGCCAGGACCTCCAGAGCCCCCGGGGCCACCTGCGGGGCCAGTTGGCGATGCTCCAGGTGCAGTAATAGTAAGTATATCGACAAAGCTTGGGCCACCAGAGACTCCAGGTAGGGTTAAGGTAATCGTTTCGAGGGTGCTTTGGCTACCAAAACCACCAGGACTTCCAGGGCCTGACCCGCCGGCAGAGTTGCTGGGTGACTCCCCCGGTGCAGTCAAAGTGATGCTCGGTGGAATGCCCTGGCCACCTGCGCCGCCGGAACCACTACCAGTCTCAGAAGGTGCAGCCCAAATGGTGGTCTCGGAGGGGACGCCTTGACCGCCTGGGCCAGTTTCGGATCCTGAACCTCCGGCATTGCCAGTAGATTCACAAGGGGTGGTAGTAGCAGCTGTTGGTGAGATCCCTTGACCATTTGGACCACTTCCGGAACCAGAACCGGAACCAGAACCCGAGCCTGAACCTGAACCGGGGCCTGAGCCTGAGCCTGAGCCTGAGCCAGAACCACCGGGACTTCCGGCAGTCTGTGAAGGGAAGACGACAACGATTGTCTCAGAACTTTCTGGGCCATTTGGTCCTCCCTGGCCAGCACCACTTGGTGAGCCTCCAGGAGCTGTGATTGTAATCGTAGCGAAAGGGGTATTTCCAACGCCTCCGGAGAGAGTCTCAGTGTAAGTGGCAGGATATTGGCCTGGGGAAGAAGAGATACCAAATGGGCCCGGAGGAATAGTTGAAACTCCAGGGCTGCCTCCTGTCGATTGCCCACCTTGCCCGCCTGGTCCACCAGCACCACCACCACCACCAGGGCTGACAATCGTGTAAGTAACGGGAACGCCGGGAACCGTGTTGCTAGGAGCAGGGGGTAGAGTGATAGTGAGGAAATCAGTAGACCAGGGAACAGTGCCAGATAATTCAGTAGAACAAGGGATAGTGATCGTTCTGGACGGAGACCAGGCCACAGGTGAAGTAGATTGAAAGACATTAGTGCCAGAATTCGAGCCAGAGCCACCAGAGCCACCTTGACCAGGAGTGACAGTAGAAATAACAGTAGAGATGACAGTAGAGACAACAGTGGGAAGATTGACCGGAGTAACAGTCACGAAGATGGTATGAGCAGGACAGGTTCCAGCGCCATTCCCACCTCCATTTCCACCACCGTTTCCATTTCCGCTTCCGCTTCCGCTTCCGCCTCCAGCGGTTGAAGAAGGTCTTCCGAGACTTGTTAGCATCACCGATAGACAGATAGACATATCATCAAGCTGGTCAATCAATCAATCACTCACCCGTTTCCGTACCCTTGAGCCGTGGCTAATCCCGCGAGCCCAGAGGCCCCCAGGACCCCAAGAAGGGCGTTTCTTCGCATCTTAATGTGATCTGCAGTTCTGTTTATGCTGGCTAGGTTGTAAAGTGGTGGTGGATGAAACAATTGTTGGTAGAGACACAATGAGGATGAGAGACGGAGACGAGTTGAAGAGACGAAAGATTGGGAGACTGAGAGATGAGAGAATAGAATAGAAACCTGGGAGAGTAAATTTTTGGGTTGAAACACTGCTTCTATTGTGCCTTCCCAACTAATATGGAAGTCTCACTCCTATCCAGGAGCGGGAAGGAAAGAGCTGATGGTTTATAATCATATTATGTGTCATAGTATATCAACTTGGCAGTCTCGATGGCAAGTGAGAAGTATATTCGGCATGTTCCATCCCAATATACACCTATCTGTTGGGCTTGCTTCTATACTGCGCTTGCCTTCACATGCACTCAACTGCCAAGGGCATGTAGTACCTTAACTCTACGAGACAAGACTTCGATCTAGGTATAAGTTAAGATAGCAGGAACTTCCAGAGGTGGCCGGTGTTTACTTTAACACTTATTAATTACAAGCGTCTCTGAGCGCTCGATCTTGTCACATATTCAGGTATATTCAATTAGGATGTCCAACCTGACTGCGTGTATATATCTGAATACTGTAGACAACAGGTATTGGTGGGAATATACATACATGGTAGGTATTATAAGTGGTATAGACAATGGGAAGGTGCCAGCATCTCCACCTAAAGTTTCTGCTTGTGTGATATGGATATGACGTGATAGCATCAATCGTGACTTCCAAGATGTCGGAACTTTCGAGGCATAGCTTCTTCGATTAGGAAGGATGTCGTAACACTATACCGGGTGGACATGCTTAGAGAGTTGGTATATACATGTAGGTCCTTTCCTAAGGTTCTAAGTTTGAAGAAACTTTAACAATTGGTATGACCACACATTAGGGAGTGTGGAATGAATAGGGAGGTGCGTACATAGGTATAGTATATTTGGTGTCATACTTCCCAGGAAGTTGCTAGTCTGTATGGAGAGATGGAGACGGCGAAATGGAATCTTCGGTGAAACTGTTGAGTTGAATGTTGAATATTGTCGGTAGGCACCAAGGCACATGCTGCTGGTACAATTGGATTAATGAGTTCCATGAAATCTCTTATCTCTAAAGTAGACATATAGAATAGGTACTTAGGTACCTAAGGTATAATGTTAGCTATAAACGTTAGGTAGGCGCCTAGTGCAACTGATTGAAATGAAATATTTTGAATATGAATTATTCTCATGAAGCATATAGCAGCTAGTGAACTTAGTAGACAGAACTTGGAGATACCTTACATACCTGCCACGTCCATGCAACTGTTAAAACCCCCTCTATTCCACCTGGGAAGCGGCGCATCTATTACACGCTCTATTGGATAATTCCATATACACAGCAATCTTACTTAGGGTTGAGCTTTAGTGAGATCTTCAAAATGGGTTGCATTCAAAGCCTATTACATCTCTTATTACATCTAACCGCAACACCAATTCAAACAAAGTAAGGTTAAGTGCATAATTCCTCATAAATTTATCATTAATCAGCGTACGCAAGTCGCACATAATCATACAGGGTTATCCACGTAGGGTGGAGGAGGCTCATCAGGATCATACTCCTGTGGGTCTCTCGGCGGTGCAGCAGCAACAGAAGAAGTAGGAGCAGCAGTAGGGGCAGGGATAGGTAGTCCTCTTGCCTGCTGTTCGAGCTTCGCTGTCCAGATCGCAGCGCCCGCCGCCGAAGTAAGGAGGAAGAAAAAAGATAGAATGGGTACGAGCTGAAGTATCATCGCTATGGTGCCGAACCATGTGTACTCCCACCTTCTACTCCTAATCTCCTGCTTTTGCTCTTTCTTCGTCAAGCCCCTCAATTCAAACCACCTGTAATGCGCGAATGTTCCTAATCGGGCGCCCGTGATTATGATGAAGGCTGGGGTACCGACCTTTGGGATGAGATTGAGCGGTAGGAACACGATTAGCTCGACGATCTGTATTAGACTCCACGGCTGGTATACGGCAGAGCTTGTTGGTTTCCCCAACTTCTTGACGGAGCTGGGTGCATCTGGGAATAGTAGTCGATGCGGCGCAACGAGGCCCTCGAGATCTTTGTCGAGAAGGGTTGCCTGACAAAAGTTAGTATTTAACGCTTTCAGGTTGACAATGAATATGTATGGGAATCTCTGCGGGGTAGATCAACATACATCAAACACATCTACGCGACATTCATCGACGAAGAAACCCTCGAACAAGCCCTGGATAATGACTAGACCCTCGCCCAGCACCAACACTACAGCGTTGATCCACGCGCTCCAACCGTGGAAAATGGCTAAGAATGCATACTGAGGTAGAAATGCAAACGTGAAGAGGATCGTATAGACTAGGAACGAGATGATTGAGAGGGGAAGCAGTCGACTGAGGAATAGAGGATAGAATGTTGGATGACGTAAGAAGTAGTAGATGCCTTGAAGAGGGTACGAAGCCGCAATTAACCCTCTTAAGATACAGGAACCAAACCTTCCTAGTGGTCGCATAACTTTGGGGGGGCGATTTTGGGACTCCATGTCATCGTTATTTGAGGTATTGTAGGATGAACAGGCTGAAGAGCGATCAACTCTACCCAGAGTTTGATGTTGTAGCCTGTAACCTAGGCTGTATGCAATAAAGCGGGAGCTGACGACACTGCTGTGACACATGCTGAAACATCTTTAATCCTTATCGATAGCGCCCTTGTAAGGCATGTGAATTACCCTTACAAGGTACCTGACCCATCTTATGGTACCTGCATGCTTCATGCCATCTCTTCAACGTCAGCAGCCTATTTAGAAAAGGCACAATAATATTTAATCTACCTAATTCACTGGGTGTTGTCAGCACCTGACTTCCAGAAAAAAGCAATATCATAGGTTAAAGTATAGTCCAAATTTACCAAAGTACAAAATTCATCAAGAGGTGGTTATCACATATGAAAGTAGTTGTTTCATAAACCAGAGCAGTTCTATTGTTAGGCATGTTGTGGCTAAGACCCCTAACTAGCATCATGACGATATCATTGCTAGTACGACTAGTTTTGAAGCCATACTCGACGAAACAAATTGGCCTTCTCAAGTACCGTACCCATCTTTTTTTTCTTCGGATTTTTTTCAGAATCCTTAACGCCATGTGTAATGCGGAAACTCAATTACATACCTGTCTACTAAGGACAGAAAAGGGGCGGCGCCTCAATTAGACGTATGCTCTCACCCCCTATCCCTCAATCGACTGGGGATTCGCAAAAACGTTGTTCGGATCTAGAACCTTTTTCAATTGTTTCAGCTTCTTGTGAAGTTCCTTACCATAGTATAGATCATTTGCTTCTTCTCTCGGCAGACTTGGGTCGGTATAATTGGAGTACGCGCCGCAATTTGGGAGACGCGCTGTCATAGCGCTTGCTAGTCCGTTGATGAAGTCAAGACCTTCCGGTGGGAATACTTGCTCGTTATCAACATAGCCGTATAGTTGGGTGACCCACAGAGTATCGCGATGTGCAAAGGCGGAAAAGCTCTGGTCTTTGGCGTTGATCTGGCTGTCGACGCCACCGTACAAGTCAACTAAGATGAAGTACGAGATAGGTGCCCGTGCGCCTGTATCAAGGAGGTATGTGAAGAAGTCCGTCAGCGATTCGGCAGTAAAACCTGGCTCGGGTATGGTAACACTCTTGGCGAAGAAATTGCCATGCTCTAAGGAATCTGTCGGAGAGTCCAGTTCTCGGCCTTGGTTGAGTAGTTTGAGAGACGTTGCCCAATCTACCTGCTTGACTTCGATAGTTGGGAACTCGGGAATGCCTTCCAGCAATGCTGGTATAACTTTTCGTATGAAGTCATTACGAGATCCTAAGTACGTGCCCCCTACTGCAAAATAGTCCGATGACAGAGTCACATTGAGTCCCAACTGGCGGTCGACAACAGAGTTATCGTGAACAAATGCTTGGATATGCTGAAAGGCTCTGACAGCGCTCTCAATGCTTTTTGTTGCATCGCTGACCCTAAAGTCCCAGTGTATGACGGATCCGGGCGTAGGCACCGTGTTAAGATAAAATGCTACCGCGATGCCAAAGGAGTCAGCCGCGCCTCGCATCGCCTTATTTGGAAGTTCCAAGGTTAGTCAAAGCGCGTCAGTTAAAGGGGGGAATGCAACAAGAATATCAGGACTTACATAGAATAGATCGGGGTTCTGGTTTTCATCAGCAAGGACTAGTTGGCCATTTGCTAATACCACCATGATCTTTGTGATGCGGTCCATAGCAAGACCCCAAGCACGGGAGAAGAATCCATACCCACCGTGTGTGAAATGCCCGCCGACCCCAACGCTTGCGCAAGTGCCATGAGGAAGAGCGCGTTTCCAGCCCGTACGTTGGTCAATGGTTTGAGCCAACTCGCCCAATCGCATACCGCTACCAACTATAACACAATCAGGGTCTTCTGAAGTCGAGATGGTTCGGAATTGAATTTCCCTGAGGTCTATTACCACAGAACCATTCACGCCTCCATTGCTGTAGGAGGCATATGAGTGCCCGCCAGATCGGGCTTGCACTTTGAATCCATGCTTGTCTGCAAAGGTAACGGCATTGCTGATATGCTCGACAGTGGATGGGACAACGACAACAGAAGGAGTGACTGGAAGGCGTAGGTTATAGGTTGATGAATATGTAGCCCAATCAGGATCTGTTGGTGTTTTGAATGGAATGCCCGTATCAGTTAGCTGTCCTATGAAGGAAGCTACGTCGGCAGAAGCCATCTTGGATACTATGAAAGGCGACGAAGAAGTGGTAGGAGATAAGTTCAATAGAGTAGAGTTAACTAGATAATATAATTATCCGTTTATGTAAGTCTTATCCCACGGCACGTTCCTGCTTTAGAGTTCGCTTGGATCGCGATAATCATAAGCAGCGACATGTGATTTGCGGTGAAAGATACTGCCGCTAGTTCGCTAAATTACTAGATTAATTAACTTAGTTGATGGAAGGATAGAAAATGGATAGAATGCAAACATCCATTTGGAGTGATTTTGTGAGGCCGTTTGGTTGGATTGCTACTGTATGTTTGGGTAGGTGCTAAATGCGTAGACCTGGTGATTTGCTTACGTCTGCAGCAAGCATCTTGAAGTTAACAACCCTTTTGTAGTTCTAGCACCTGCCATATGACATTCCAACTTCATTCACATGGACTGCCAAGTACCTAATTGAGCGGATCTAGTGAGACGTGCAAGTATCATGAGGTCTGGGAGCGGCGGCCAATGACCAATCGTGAATTTACAGAAATTGTCATCTAAATGAGAAACCTAAATAATGAGATGATAACTCTATGCTAACTAGGTAGTTTTCTTTCTCTGCAATAGTATTATAGTCTGATTCATTAAGATAGTGTGGTTTCAATCAAACCGCCACGTCCAAACTTACCCCTATCTAGCCCCTTTTTTATTTTAGCGTTTGCTCACGTAAGAAGAGATGGTTATAGATGTATGTACTACATGAATACCTTCTAAGAGTTAGCTTTTACTCTCTATTCCCTCTTGATGAGGTAGTTTGTTTACTAAACCTGACTTTCGGTTTCACAACATTTAAAATAAATCTTGTATGAGTTGCAATGAGTTGCGCGTGTTTCATGCGACGTTTTACGAAACGGCACAGCTTATCAAAGCCTACATTAAGAGAAATTTCCGTGCCATTGAATTCGTCTGCGAATTAGAGATATTGAAATGAAACTACTATATTTGGATATCATCTCTACCTTTGTTTTGGATTGACAGAACTGGTTACTAGGCAGTCATCAACCTAGCCTAAGCGCTTCATTTTTTAAACAAAACATGCATGACCTTTGAATTTCAAAAATGAATAAACTACTTACCTACCTAGGTACCTACCTAATATAACCTATTGATACAATACTAACTACAATCCTCTTCTAAGTGTTCTGGGGTCGCCTAACCCTATGATTCTATTCAAATGTAATGAATGATACATTGCAATATTGTTCGTTAGCCTTTCTCAATAACTCATTTCTTCAGCTCTGTAACTCCTGCGTTCGATAGGCCCCAATGCCCCACGGATTAGTGTTCTTCCTTGTTCGCTGTTGTTGTTGTCGTCGTCGTTGTTGTCGCTACCCTGTTCAGTATCATTTGGCCTCGGTCGCCTGGGCGGAGCAAATATCCCTTGTATTTCCTGATAGAAAAGCTGGCCGGATACCGCAATGGTCAAGACTATAGCAACAAGTAGAAAAGCCCACCAGTACTTCCACACACTTACGCCACCTCTGATTTTCTGCTTTTCGAAGTCGAGCGCGTTACTCCCAGAGATTGTCTGTGGACACGGATTATAGTTAGGGTCATGATTCGAGATGGGCATCCTTGGGATGTATGTATGAGACGGCTGGAGACTTACAGATACCACGGTAATGGGAAGGAAAACCACCGTAACTATAGCTATATTCCTAAGTGAGATGCTGTCCTTTCGAGTATTCTCAGCGATATCGAGATTGAGTCTGGTATCATTCTGAGCAGTAAAGCTATTAAGCTATACTTAATTAGTTTATAGCTGTTTCAATCGACTCTCATTTGTGTTGATTCGTGAAGGCTTACAATTTCCACATATAACGCTGCCCGTTTTTCCACCCCCTGTCGTCTACTTTGGCGTAACCTGGCTACAGTTTGTAGATCATTATTCTTTTCCTGGATTACCTTCGACTCGGTCTGTGAGAACTGGGGCATATACTGCATATCCTGATACGCTGCCATTGTATCCCGTGTAAAGCGAAGTGCCGACAGCTCGAAATCCAAGGCGTAGTCCAGGTTTACTAGTCCACGCCTTACCATATTAAAGGCGTGAACCGAGCTGAAAGCAGAGTGTCTAGGATCGGTGTAGACCTTATGGCGCGCATAGCAGAAAATATCCATCTTCTTTTCACAGCTCTGGAAGCTGCGATGACGGTTGACCCAGTACGCTTCATTGAACCTGTCTAATTCCCCACAGAATATGTTCAGCACATGGAGAGGACAAGTTCTTATCAGCAAATAGTTGCTCTGTAGGGCCCCAGCAATGTTATTATTGGCTTCTTTGAGGTTGCTTGTAATGATAATACACAACGCCGAATTCGTCTGCGCTGATATTCCAAGAAGCAGTGAAAGGGGTCCCATTGTAGGAGACTCAGCCTCTAGAGATGGGGTCTGCATGGATATATCTTAAAAGAATATTAGCTACCTATATCAAGATATTATATCGGGTTCTCTTACACAACGAGGTGGGAGGCTTTTTTGGGACATGAGGGGAGTTATCGACTGTAAGAGAATGCCAACCATCTCTATGAAATAGAGTTCCTACAGAGGATATCGATATGCTGGCCCTCTCAAGTAACCATAGGAAGTGTGATCGTTGAACATTTAGATGTGTGCGCCCATTGAAATTGATTTCTTTGGCTTCTAGTAACCTATAGTCTATTAATTAGTGTCAAACCAGCATTGTTCGGTTGATACCTGCGTACACCATATCAAACCGAAAATCGTGTTCTCTCCTAGATTCGAGCCGGTCCTATAAAGTATTAGTGAATTATATCATAAAAAATGGACATTGTGATCGTACGTTTCTCCTTATGTCATTGACTAGGTCGTTGTCGACCCGCTGCCACCCATTCTTGCCATACCAAGAAGCTTTGGTGGACTGCTCGAAGCCAATGGTCGTTAAGTACTGCTCGTTTGATTGATCTTGACTCATTGTGGTTAAATATTGATCGGATGGATCCTCAAAGCTAGATGACTGCGGGGGGTGATGTCTTAGCAACTGGGTCTTGTTTCTGAGGCCCGCATTTCTACCAAATGGATATTATATACTAGACGGTAGATAGCAGGTGACTGGGATATTCGTTCCCGGATAAGGCTGAGGGATTGGGGCATAGTTAGAACCCTGGACTTTGATAATATTCGCATGCTGATCGATTCTCGGTATGTGTCGTTTCAGCGGTAGGCATGGGATAACGTATTTCATGTAAATCATGCCTAGTTTAAGATCATATGTTGGTTCTTGTGGATTAGATCGCGAAAGAGACATGGGGGGTTTTGGTAGCGAGCTTAAACTTTTTGAAGCCATTGGCTAAGGTGGTGGATACAATTTTTGACCCATATCTGGTTGTCAATGGGACACTACGATCGCCAATTCGTAGTTCTGCCACTTTAAATGGATAGCTAGTTCTTGGCGCAAGGCTGATGCACCTCGTATTACTACAGAAGTACGTATTGAAGCATTGCCTCCCCAATCAATTTTTTATGCGTTCGCGTTGCTTTGTGACGTCGATATATGGGAGGAATATGATAATAGCATAACTTCAGTACTCTTAAAGCTGTTTCTCGGGGTCACGGAGGTAATTACTGGAACTAGAACCGCTTGGTAGAAGTGTATACGCTTTTGGAATATGTCTAGTAGGTGGCAACTGGTGAACAACTACATAAGAAATGGTCGAGTTTGCGGCAGTGGCTGGAGTAGAATAGGAGGGTTGACTTCCCCGTCACCGAAACCTTAAATGGATCTCACATGTTACCTAATATAAGGGGCGGAGGGGGGCTGTAAGATCACGATGTTGGTAGTTAGGGGTAGTTAGGGGTCGACGAAGCCATTAATACGTAACTTGGTTATGTAAATATGTAGGAATATACATATGCGGTAGCCAAGAGTAAGATATGAGTTGTCAAATATGGATTAGCGGGGGGTGACATTGCAGAGTTACATTGTATCGTTTTATCTAACCATACATATTCCTCGTCGCAAGAAGAGGCGTGGATTGTGTAGCCTACAGCTTCAAGGCGGCCGGCAATTACGGGTGAGCTGAAGCAAGGCGGTCCTATGGAAAACTTTCAGAACAGCCACGTCGAATGGCACAAACAACACATCTTACATTATATGTTGTGTTACGCAGCCTATACTCGGTAGGGCTGACAATAGGGGAGCTTCACCAAAGAGATTTCTTTGCTAACCCTTTTAGATCTAAACCAGGTAAGATATACAGTAGTTGTTTTGTTGCCTAGATTACTATCTTTAAATTTAGGTTGTCTCTACCAAAATATTAAACAATCTCATTCTGTCACGAGTAGTTGTCGGTAAAAATTGCGTAGCCTTGTTGTCTCAAGAGGAAAAGAAAAATACAAGCCTTAAGTGCCTACTTAGATCGAATAGTTTATCTACTTGAATATGCGGTACGAGGCTTTAGCATCTCTCAAACTATTACCAAAATTGTATAATATCCCTATTTCTATGTTTCCCCCTATAGCTATCTAAGATCAAGATATATGTATAATCGAGTTTATTTACAGTTCGGGGTTTAACTATTCTTGCGGGGTAGCATTGTAACTCATGAGATATACGAATGAGGCTTATAATCTGTCAACGAGTCCTTGGGCAGCATTGTCAGGATTCGCCCCCCAAGTTTTAGCGGTGCACTGTCGGCAAGTTAGCATGGATCTACACATGTAGCTCCCTGGACAGTGTTCCGGCCGAAGTCAAGAAGACCCATCAGAAAAGAAGGTACTTACTTGGAGATATAAAATGCCATCTTCGATCTCGCACTCGCAATAGGAGTCATACTTGAGCGTGTCTACAATCCGGAATGCGATCTCGCCTTTCTCAACAGCCTCGTGGAAGCCCTCACGTAGTAGCTCATCCTCATGAAATTTCTGATATTTGAGCTGGTAGACGAGACCCTCGAAGTAGAGTCGCGTGAACGAACCTAAGAGACCGTCCCAGTCTGACCGAAAATCAGCCTTATTCGTCTTGCTTGCTTCCCGGAGCCTTGAGAAAGTGTCTTCGAAATTCAGGCCAAGTTTGATGTCAGGCTTTGACAATATATTCGCAATCTGTGCCCGGATATCCTCGGCCTTAGGATCGTATTCCTTGCTAATATCTGACCGTGCCGCAAAGTTTAGGACCGCCGCATCATCCGATGCAGGGGTAGGAGCCTCATTCAGAGCCTTAAGAAGGACTTCGCGATCGAGTGCGTAGTCAATGTTGGTTCCTAGTTTTCTTGGGGCGAACAAGATGCGTAGCTTTCCCTCGTGGACATCCGCGCCGCAATATAAGAAGCGGCAGGCATCATCCAAGTCAATGGTTATAACGTGAGCGTAGCAAATGGTGTTCAGCTCTTTTAAGCCATCTTCCCCCGCATTATCTTTAAATTCTTTGAGCCTATACATCGCACCGTTGATATATCTGGATTAAGAGTAAGCACAGTATTGGATGTCATGCCTCCTCTCTTTAACACTTACTCTGCGATGCAACTGCCAAGGGACTCCTTCGCATACCCCTCTTCGGCGTAGGCATATAGTTGGTTAGGGTTCACATCAACAGTCCAAGGGGTTGCTAGAGTATCTGAGAGCTTCTGCTCGAGATCTGACTTCTTATTGTCCCATTCATCGCGAACTAAGCTAGGTCAGCTTTGATGAAGGGGGTAATCAATGGTATGCTGACTCACTGTTCTTGCGTAGAGCAAGAGGAAGCTTCTCAATAGGTGGTAACTTAGGCATGGCGAATGTGATAATTGATATTTGGGAGAGAATATAGTGTGGTGAATTGCGTGATATAGTTGGGAGATAATAAAATCAACTGGGTGGTTAGGTCTTAAATAGTATTGATTATCACCATCTACTCTTCAACGTTGTCGTAGCTTATTGCTAACCTCGTTCATTTCCGACTAGGCAACGGCTCGGTTAAAGGGGTTGTAGCTTTCGCGTCACACACTTACATATCTCGGCAATGCAAAGCTCGTCGAGTATAGATTGAGCCAGCTCTAAGGTATCAGAGCAAACAGCTTGCCTCTAATACGGAAATGACACCGAGCGGTCCACATCTTTAGTTGTTTAGCCAAGTACACTATTGACTCTTACGGCTTGTCGTTATTCAGCCGCAATTACTTACGGGCCAAGCCTGTTAATAGTGGATATAACTATGTCAAAGACCAAGAGAAGTTTCGCATTAGCTGCCTGCATTTCTGATCAAGAATAAAACAAGAAATGCCACGATATTCGAAACTTCAAATCTTCATGATATGTGGGCGGATAGACAATTCCTTAGGAGTGTAGCAGACGCGCATTGTGTTGGAGACAAACACGTTGGAGTTGTAAGAACCTGGTGAAGATGAATTGACGTTCAGTTCGGCTTAACAACATCATCAAAGGTGGGGGTATCTCGATGGAAGTGAGATGGGCTGTGCACGTACCCAGATATGTCCTGCACATCTACACCATGTTAGGAAAACGATTGCAGATATGATTGGCTAATAGTTCCGGAGACAAGCAAAAAACAGGGATTATCTCTATAACTAAAAACTGCCACCTACGAAACGCCTTGTAGTAAGCCTAAGCTGTCTTACGTAGGCTTCAAACGGACGGCAGGAAGTGGTAAGATGGCGTTGACTAACCCCTATATAGGTGGGGGCGCTATCAATTCTTGTTCCCCGGAACCCGTGCCTGAAGACATGAAAGTCCCTGTTGATTCATTCTTATAAGGGTTCTAGGATAGGAGATCGATGTGGATTTATTCGTTACCTTTTTATAGAGTCACCATGGCATCATCAAAGCTATAAGTTGATTAATACCCCCCACCTGCGAAACAAACTTTCAAGTTATTAAACCGTTCGTAGACCCCTGAAAGTTTGGGTTGGCATTCGAGACTACTGGAACAATGTCGATGCACCCCTCCAAGTGACACGGTCTGCCTTAAAGGAGACTCTTGGAATCGACGTAACACTTGAGATTAACTGGGATGCTATCTTTTCTCATTTAAGTGCCGACTATTCGGACAAGTCTACATTTGTTCCTTCGATCGCGGCTGGTGTCCAAGCATTTCTTGACGGGCTGCGGGAGCTACTAGATGTCGATTTGAAGCCAGAATGGACTGATACCCTTCTTGAGAATGCAAATGGCTGCTTGAGACTTTTCATAGGCGTGAGAGAAACTTTTAAATGTTGACTAAAAATATTAATAGTGCTAAGAACTTGAGATTAGGTCTCTAAAAAGGAGGAGCCAACGGTTCTTTGGTCTGCAAAAAGTGTAGGCTTCCAAGTCAATCTCCCTAAGGGCTCAATGCCGCCAGCGATTCAGATGCAGTCCTCATTCAAAACTCAGCTCGTTAATTGCTTTGATGACCCACAGCCTTCCTTAGATGACTGGGCGGACATTTCCATAGAAGCCACAAAGGAACACCCAGCCATAGCAGATGAGCATCAATCTTTTGACATACTACCAAGTATCAGCGTTCTACCATGTCCGGACGACCTACTTCTCAAGCCACCGTATCATCTAACTGTCTATGGCGGAGGTAAGACTACAGTCGAAGTCCAGTGTAGTCATAGCCCGACATTAGAGCTTCTTGCAGAATATCTAAAGAAATGGTGCAAGGTCAATCACCAGGATACACGACATGTAAGTGTTTCCTCCCAAAAGAGTGACAACGTATACGCAATGTTTAACGGACAACAAATTTGTACAGCCTCCCGCAGTCGAGGTCGAGTTACACCAATCGTCCTTTGGGTTCGGTCTAATGTATGACCGTCTAACAATGTCTGTCCAGAACCGCAACCTACAGTTCTTGGTATCGCCTATGATTGTACTGCCGTTTGTTGAAAGTGTGCTAGGTTACAAAAGTGTCTCAGTTGACGGGTCTTCTTGGATATTTCGGAGGGATATCGAATTAAAGAAACCTAAGCGGTAAATATTGCTTAGAGTAATATTAAAGGTTTCTATAAGTCAATGACAAAATCTGAGTGGCTGAAGTAGTTCTATAGTAAGCATTCTAGATCAGGTGCGCATCCGGCAGTTTAACTGAGCGTCTAAACAAAAGTATAGGTATCTCTGTATACGGATCTTGACAGCCTAGTGAGGCTGAAGTCGGGGCTGTGAGAATTGTGAGGGATTTGATGCCATATAAATCACGCCATCATCGTGAGACTTGTTAGTGCCGGCTTTCGCCTCCTCGTATGTACACATGGAGGGTGCTCCGTTTTAATTACATAAAGAAACGAGTGAAACTGGGGATAGCGTACCAGATTTTAAGGGTCTATATAAGATTATCTTGAACCATACAATATTCCTGAAAACGTATGTCTTCTATAAAAGTTAAAAACGTTTAAATAGGGGGAAGCACACCTATACGGAAGTATTTCGGATTAGCCCTTAATTGATAGCCGATTTCTTAATTATCTGTATGCGAGAAGGCAAAAGCCGGTAGTAATATCAGTTCATTTAGTGTGTATAATGTCGGAGTATTTATAACAAAACACCTACGTAACGTTGCTTACAGTGAGCAAATATATTTATGGTACCTAGCTCATAGCTGCACAACTTATCTAAGCTACGAAGAGTCGACCATGGGTTGATCCTAGACATAAGAGGGCTGCGAGCAGTCTTCGAGCTGCAAGAGACGCAGTTACGAAGTTATCATCTTCTACAGATAATCAAAATACGGGGTTCTGTTTGGTGGCGGAGCTTACGTAAGATTCTTTGAATAGAATGATCGTCGAAAGTTTTATTGTTAGGGGTTAAGCAAGATCTTGTCGCCAAAGTCAGCTTGATTATTAGTCAGAAGTATGTCCTAGTTTAGATATACATAGCAGAATTTATAATCTTGAATCTTTATATTGGCGTAGACTTTCTCCTTGTAGCTGGTTGAATGCTTTGTCGCTAGTTATTCTCTATATTGTATATCTCTATATTGTATAGTAGCAGCACATTAATATCGAAAACCCCTCATTTAGTCACGTAGGTACATACCTACCTCTTATGAGTCTCGTTGCAACCTAACCTATGTAATATTAAGCTGTGCCTTATAAGCGCCGGATTTTATAACTACCCTAGTCCGGTTTAGGTTTTATTCAAGCGGTGTCGTGCAGGCGACGAGGGCTGCTGAACCTATATAGTATGGTTATACCCAAAGCGCGTCGCTAGTCAAAATTAGCTACTTAGCGCTCATGCCAACCAGGTAGAGTATACTGCGGCTAAGTAGGGACGGCGTAGTATAATCAGTCGAGGAGAATCTCTTATATTTCCCTCAAATGACATACTCTAGACCCCTACTTAGATACGACTCCCTTAACCAATATTACTCCCGTATATTTCGGTAATCATGCTATCCAAAACCGAGATACGGATCCTAGACCTACTACCTTCTTCAGGCTTGAATAATAGCGACGCCCCGATACAATGCCAAACTCGAGTTGTTCCTTTTCCTACGGATATTGAATTTGAGACACTATCATATGTATGGGGAACCGTACAGGATGTCACGAATATTAGTGTCGATGGGAATGATGTCCCGATTACAACAAACCTTGCGGCCGTTTTGAGACGCGTTCGTCTTTCAGACAAGATTCGGACTGTTTGGGTGGATCAGCTGTGTATCAATCAACAGGATGAGGAAGAGAAAGCTAAGCAAGTTTCTCTCATGGGCCGCATATACTCTACGACAAGTCAATGCCTGATTTGGTTGGGCGAGATTGGGCAAGATATTTCACTCTCTGATGCTCAAATTGCGCTAGACTTCCTTCACTATTTGAGCGAGGGCAGGCGAAAGCAAGAGGGAACTTCGGAACTGAGCGCTTCTGTCGACTTTGACTCAGTGGAAGCTCTACGTGAGCCGATGCGAGCGTTGTATACGATCGGCTTGAAAAATAACCCGTGGTGGGCTCGAATGTGGACGTTGCAAGAAGCAATCCTTCCTCCTAAAGCCTGCGTCTTGTGGGGTGAATTATCCATACAATGGGAAGTGCTCGTTTCCGCAGCTGCAAGATGGGTATCTCTTCCTTATGACCCTGTTATGTACGCCTATAATGACGCTCTCTACAATATCCTCTCACAAGTAAGGGGCTTTGTTTTCGCCAAGGAAAATCGTCAAGGGCCTTTAGACACAGCGTTTCGCTGGAGTTTTCGCAATGCATCAAACCCCCTTGACAAAGTCTATGGATTTATCGGGCTTTTCCCACCTGGAACTCTCCCCCGGGTTCGATCATGTGATTATGGACTATCTCGAGCTACCCTCTATGCTATGTTCACCGCGGACCTGATTGAATGTCAGAAAAGCTTACATCCCATCGCCTTACGATGTTTACGCAACCTTCCAGAGAGTACGCCAGATATACCGCGCTGGGCTTTAGACATGGGCGTCAGTCATATTCAGTTCTCAATGACTGTAGATGGGAATGACTGTGCCTGGTACTTAATGAGTACATACGACTGCTATAATGCCTGCGGCGAAACTACGATTGATTGGTCCCGATTCCGATACGACCAGATATCGAATACCTTAGAGTTGACAGGCTATATGGTTGATTCTATAGTCGTGGCTGGGCCAGGGCCAAGGTCACGCATCGATGAGCCTGACACTTCCAATGTTTCACGTGCCGGTGTGGTTCGGTTGATTCAAGACTGGTATGGAATTGCTGAAGAATTCTATAAAAGCCAACCACGTCACGAGTCAACCTACGACACAAATTCATTCCCAGACTCTTTCTGGAAAGGATTAGTAGGTAACATCAAAGTCGATCCAGAATTATTCCCCGAGGGCGAAGCGACGTCAGAAGATATAGCGTTAGCAAAGAAGTTCGTTCAAACCGGTATCAAAAACGAGATATACGAGAGCATATTTGGAAACATTGCTCATAGGCAAATGATTATCACTAAGACGGGCTTACTGGGCTTTGGCCCTAACCATGCAGAAGTCGGAGACCAGGTTTGGATCCTGTCTGGTGGGAAAATGCCGTTTGTATTGAGGCCAAGTGAAGGACAGTCATTGTCAACCAATGAACTTCTTTTCATTGGATCCTCTTATATAGACGGAATAATGGAAGGTGAGGCAATAGAACTTGATAAGCCTGCTACTGATATTGTCTTGAGGTAAGAATTGGGATGCCGGCTGGCCTGTACTCCCGCATTGTCTATTGAGGAAATCAAATGGGAAAGGTGAGGTAGTCATGGTCCTGCTCGAGGTATATGGAGAATTCGCTTACAGGTAACATAAGATTTAAATCTTTCTATAGGGGCAGTTTTAACATTTGATATAAGTTATTGGAACGAGCAAATGGCAGCCCCAAAATATATTAATATGGCCAGTAATGAAATATTAAGTCTATATACAATAGGCTGACACAGATGTACAAAACAGCTTCATAACTTCGTACATAGAGTTTGTCAGACCTTTCCATCAAGTCTCATTTCAGGGTGATGTCTTCTATAGTTTAGGTAGATAAACATAGGAAACTTCCCATCTCTCTAATTGTCCTATCTTGCGGTCATTCTATTTATACCGACCAACTGAGAACGCTTTTTATCCTCTTCAGCTTCTGTCGAGACACTGTCGATGTCGCTACGATTACGAGAGCGTGTAATTGGAAGTGTCGCCATGTTTACAAAAGGGCGGAAGAATCTGTTATAGACGATGAACGTATCATGATCCCCCGCAAAAGCATTCACCGGAGTCGCCATATAGATGCTCCTTCGTCTAATTGCAACAGCATCTTCAGTAATCGGTCGGACGTTGGTGTATTTGTAGATGGCACTAAGAATTGGTATTGAAAGGCCGTGTACTACGATCGAGAAGAGGACGAGGAAGTATACCACTGGAGAATAGATTAGCTAACGAGTACGGGGGTATCAAATAAACACAACTAACCTGGACATATAGCGTCAAGGAGTTCCCGCTCCCTCGCACTAGCTACTTTTTCCTTCGGGAACAGCAATCGTGTATGCTGGAGATAGTATACCGCCCCAACACCTATCGGGCCAAAATATCCCATGAATAACGCTTCCTTCCAGCTTTTTACAACTGCCGGCATCGTCTTATAAGTAAGAAGTAAAGCAGGGATTCGTCGAAATAGGAGAACGAGGAGGCCTAAACCAAAGAGACGAGGATAAGTAATGCCAGTAGTAGTGGGTTGATGGAATTCCTGCCAAGGCATAGTAATACCGATATACATGAAGCCGCCAAAGTTGAGCATAACGTCAATGCACGAATTCACTTCGTCGTGGCGGCGTTCCGTCTCCGCAAGGAACTGGCCATCCCAGTTTAATGCGCAACCTGCGACAAAGCAAGCAAGAAGATCACTTGTACCGATAGCGCCGCAAGTTCCAACAATAAACAGCTGTTATATTTCATCAGCATCGCTTAAATATAAAATAGGGGGCTGTCAGAGGCACTTACACCCAATGCTGTCGGGAAAAGTAGATAGCTCTCCGAGTCGATCCATCTTCGGGATAGTGAAAATCTAACTCCCATCCGAGCACAGTACCCCGTAACAGCCCCGTATACGACGGCTAGTAATACGATGTAGATAAGAGTTTCGATCACCCAGTTCCCCAAGGCAATGCCGACATCACGCGTATCCTCGCCAACACCTCGACCGCGCTCTACAAGCTTTTCCTCCCTGTTCTCCGTGAGGCGTAGGAGGTTAACAGCAAGCATGAGGAAAGGCGAAGCGAAACCATCGTTAGCACCGGCTTCAGCTGAAATGATCTCTCGGAGAGGCCGAGCCACATACTTGTCAGCGAACGGGCCCTTGGCGACGGCTTGTGAGAGGATCGGATCTGTAGATGTAACACATGCTCCCATAACAAGAGCTGCGAGTAACGAAATCTTAGGGATCGTTGCGAGTACGCAAACGGAGGTTGCCAACCACATCAATGCCATGATGGGAACAAGGCAGACGATCAACGCTTTATGGTGTAGTTGAAGATATCTGGCGGGTAACTGGTATCCCGCAATGACCCTACAATAGTCGGAATTGAAACCCGGTTAGACAGGTGAGTTCATTCGAGAGGGTCAAATACCTTTCTAAAGAAAAGTACTTATACCAGACTCACAGTTGAATACCAATCATAACCCTCATTACACCAAGAGTTATCGCATCTTGCTGGTCTGGTGTAGCTGACCCCCATCGTTTCGCGTCCAGGAACCTTGCCGCGATAGGACCCAAGATCGTCCCGATGAGAACCGCTGGCACTGGTGGATAGTTAGCAATAGGTAAACATATAGATAGTATATTATAAGAAGCGCACTAACATGCCTCCCCAAGATACCAAACACCCTTTAACTTAACAGCTACCAGGCCATATATTACAGTGAAAGCACCTAAAATAAGTCAGAATCATTATTCTATCTACTAAGATTTTTATGAACTTACCAAGCACAGAAACGACGATGTTCAGCTCGCTCACATCTAGGGACGGCATCGCGATATCTGGCGTTGTTGTCGGTGTCGGTTAATCGTATGTGTGTAAAGAAGGACCCAGAGGTTTGGTTCTAACTTGAATCCTTGATATGGAACAGCCAGGGGGATGTGCCAAGGAAATACAACAAAGTAGACAATCACAAGCTAGAATGAAATAACGATGTACGTGTAGATCTACGCCCGCTGGTAAGGATAATGTGCGTGTAAGTCAGTGAAATCTCCGGCTTGGCAATGGTGTACCGATCCATTCCAAATTGAGGAATGAATCTTCTCTTAATGGTACTTCTTCAGCCACCATGCCTCGCTAAGAAGCACCTAAGGCCCTCTGCAAAGACCCGGTGTGCTCCCCCTTTTTTAGCCCCAGACATGTCTTAGCTGCCCTTGAAAACAAGCATCAACAAGTCTGATCGACTCAATATTTTGTCGAACGACTCGCAAGGAAAGCATGTGTCGCTAATTAGTACAGTCATTGGAGGGATTTATGTGTATCGAGTAACTACATCATGCGGAGCGAGTAGCTGACGAAGCAAGTACAACGACAAGTAGTGGTTGTACAAGAGCCATGGCATTTTCAGGGCAAAGATGCGATAGTTAAAAGTCTGCTATTCGTAAGGGCCTGTACGAGACAAAATGCCGAGAGTATCACACGTGCGTGACGGGTGAACAAAGGGGGATACAAGATCATTGTACACTTTTCAAATAGGGTCAGTTCTTGGTAGTACGTGGGGATTTGACTGTGATAGCTTACCTAGAATAGATCCAGTCAACTGGTGAACCATAAATTCATCAGTATGAAGTAATATAAGTATCGAAATGTCGATCTATTGGAGAAAAGGTTCGTGGTGACTCGTTGAGAGACTACTTCTCATTCTGTTAAAGTGACTAACTGCCTCTTAACCCAAGAGATCAAGCCATCTAGCATGGTACCTATTGCCTGTACCCATTGCCTCGAATGAATCGTCCTTCTGAACTTGATGGCTGCCGCCTCTTGTTAAAAGTAAAAGAATCAGATGCAAAACTTGGACGTCTTAGGCTAAGAGGTCATAAGGGGAAATTTTTCATTGTAAACACTCAGAATCAAGGTAGGCATACGGTTGATCAAGCCTGGGAATGATATTTTAGTGGCTTATGAGCTTAATGTCCTCCGTATGGCAGCATAAGTGATACGAAGAGGCTTCATATTCTAGACCATTGGGGGTCGACTGTCGCATCGTCATAGTGACCTATTATTGTATTACATATGACATTCAATTATCTAATAACAACCAAACTGTACCTAGGCCGAGTAGAACAGCTGTTGTTCAAACTTACCCAGGTAACCGACGGGCTTCGGATTTAAACATTGAAATTGTGAACGTTTTAGATAGGTCTTTCATGACATCGTTAATATAGCAAACAATAAAGTAGTATAATACGAACTATATCTCTTGCTATGTTAGCTACCAGCACTATCCAGCGTTAGCAATACCAAAAATAGATATGGTTCCTTGCCTTGCAGAATGCACCCTGTACCAGAGATCATAACCCTTGTTACCTGGGCCGCATTGATGCAGAGTCTCCTGATCATACATATACAGCTCTGCTACCAACAGCAGCCCAAGTCTCCACTCAAACAAGGGACTTCAGGCAGCTAAGTAATGGCCATTGGTTAACACGGAATAGTTACAGAATCCTACCTTGAGATTTCCGCTTGTTGTGAAAAATAGTATCCACATCTAGGTAGGGTATCGTAGGTATATATAATGCCAATTTTAATCACACCGACCATAGTGATCCCCTTCCCCTTCCCCCTCGCTCGGCTGCTCAGAACCATAGGTCTCGAGATTCTCTACAATCACCAAACATGCGGTTGAAGGACCAATATATGACCATTTCAGCTCTATCTAACGAGCTCTTATTATGCATCTTTGGCAATTTACTGCCTGCAGCATTGGTTCAATGTACACTTTGCTGCAAACGATGGTCACGCCTGGCTTCCTCTATATTATACAAGCACATCGCGTTGACCCCAAAGATCTTCTCTAAATGGACCAAACCCCCTTCCGACTTGAATGATGCGGTTATCAGTACATTTACTCTCCATATAAACCTAGTAGGCGGGCCAGACGATGAAAGGCTTGCATTTCTCCAACTACATGACGACCTTCTGAAGCTTCCCTCGCGACTCGCGAAAATGGCCAATTTGAAATCTTTTTCGCTCACTACGTCGTATGGTGCGTTCGCCAACTTATGTGCACCGAGGAGACTGGTTGCTCCCATTATTGATCACCTGCCTCCTACTTGCATATGCCTGGAAATTGACATTATGAGTACGAGCTACGAGAATTTTCCCGACGATAGTCAGGTACATCTATGTCCTTCTATTCGTCGAGTGCTACCTCAATTACAATTCCTACGACTAAACTTCCCAGAACTGTGCCCTGAAGCCTTTGGATATGGCTTTACGACACAGCCGTCAACAGACAAGGAAAGCTTTCGGCCTATCCAAATATTAAGGCTGGAGCAGTGTTTGATCAAAGTAGCGTCTACCAATCCCGTTATTTCTAGAGTTTCCCGCTCTATAGTATGCGATTGTTCCGATGTTCACGCCATGAGCATTTTAACGGATTACTTGACCATATTAAAGTCATCGGGAAACGCGCCTAGGCTCCAGAAGTTATGGGTTATTGATGCCCTACCTTTGAACGGTTGGCACAAAGCATGGGGGGCATGGGTACGTCGTGATATCTTGGAGGGGAATAGCGAAAGCCTGCCTTCCAAAAACTTGATTAGTAGACAAGGCAGAAAATTCCATAGGGAAGCATTTTTAATTCGCATGCCTAGGGAGGAAGGTGGTCAAGATCTTATATCAACAAGAGAGGGCGTGCAACTTCTTACGGAAAGGTACGCCTGGGTCCAAGCCAGCAATGGAACTCGGATACCTGGTCCATACGCCTCCAAAAGAATCTATTTCAAACCTGTTACACCCGTGATGCGAACGAAAGTGGAATGGCTTGCATTGACAGATGTCTCGTGCAACATGTGGTTGTATGAGGAGACTGCTGGTGTCCGGATGCTAGATGTAGCAGAGGGAGGATTGACCGAAGATTGTGTTCCAAAATTTCAGCCTCCCGAAGGCTGGACTATACACGACGATGGCCGGATTTTTGGACCTTGAAAGATTAATGTCTTATTCGAGAATCTTGTTGAACCTCTAAATAGGGGGTTGCACTAGCTTTTAAATAACCAGGTAAATAATAGGGAAATAAGGGACCGCGTCTCCTTTACAAGTCAAGTAGACGCGTAGGCATCAATAGCTAACTTGAGATTACAACAACAGAAAAAAAGCCTTTGTGTGGCGTGATCAATTCCGGAGGAGCCCCACACCGAACAGAAACCCACCCGGACCGGGCATACCGGCTTAGACCCACTAAATTCCCGGATCTTAGTAGCATAATCTTACAATCTGAATTATTGCCCTGGTAGCTTCTGGTTCCATGAATTCTTTTACCCACCCATTGAATATCAATAGAATGACTGATGATGTGGATTTGAAAAATAGTAAAAAGTGTGAAGGGTAAATAAAAGAAAAATGTTAGAGGGGGGGTTTCTAGAAATATCTATTTACCTGGATAAGAATCGGCTTTGTTGAAGCGAGAGGACCTATGGACCGATATATCTAGGACCTAACTGTGAATATAGGTAGCTGGGAGGTCTTTGTCTTTGGTGTCTTGGTAGTTCACTAATTCAGCCGTAGACTGACGGACTAGCTTTAGGTGCCTCATTCATAAGATGTAATCACAGACCACTCTATCACTTCACAGTCCACGGTGATAGGTATTTTATTAAGAAGTGAGGGAAGGGGCAACAGGTAGATAGGTATATATTATCAACGCCACCTTTTAAGTTACGACGCGTAATATAGAAAATGAATGGCAAACGCAAGGCATTACGTGAAATTATGGTATGTAGGTACCTCGGTAGTTCAAGTCCCCGCGTTATTCCAAGATCCTCCGAGACAACATCAACAAACACGTCGTCGCTTAGGTAGTAGGCCAACCTTGTTGCCGGTCAGTATTACGGGGCATGTCTCTCACTTCCAACATTATTTATCTACCCCGAGTACACACACGCACACATACACATGTTTATTTTTATCGCGGATCCCGTTGTGCTCCCAAAACTTTACTTCCTTTACAACCTTTCACCTGCAAAACCACTTAGCCCACACCTGCAAATCATACCACGCACCTACGAACAGACGGACGTCTTTACCAATTCAGCATGGCTCACGTTGTTCCTCTCCCGGAATGGGTATCAACCCACCTGCTCCCTATTGACCTAGAGGATGCCAATGCCAGAGTTACAGCCACGCAAGAGTTGGTCGAGGTAAGTGCTGCGATCGTCCAAGAACCAGGTCTTACTCTAAATTAGCCAATACACTAACATTGGAAATAATGTACCAGAATATACACGACTTCCTCTGCCACTGCAATACGCCCGCCGATACAATGGCTGTGGTCACCGATCTTGCGAACATGACTCGTGCTCTTCAATCCACCCTCAACGCCTTCGCGAATATGGATGTCAGAGCTGCCGACCTGTTGGAGGTAGCTGCCGAAATAACGGATTCTCTCCGGGCCAAAATCCAGTACATCATCACGCTCTGGTTGGAATTTGCAGAGATATTTCAGGGACGTCTGACCGCCCTTCAGGCCCTTGACAACAGCATGGCTGAATAAAAGGACGCGCTACATCCAATGCTACATGCTTCTGCCGTCACACTCAAGAGCTCAAGATAAGATAAATAAGGCGGAGGAAATAAGCACAGACTCTAGGTTAGGTCATTAATGTCATGTAGCATTGCCACATTGTTACGCGGGTTAGCAAAATACAAAATTGATTTCTGTCTTAGCTGCGATATAATATTGTTAATGTGGAATACTTAAGGTATGAGCGTGACTAGAAGTATCCGCATCCCTCGCGTAGTACTATCGTCGAGTGTCAATAAGGAAGCTTGAACTTGAAGAACTCTTCAACCCTCCGGGAATTCTTGTGAGAAACCAGGGCAGGATCCAACTTATGCAACCCAGTAGTGACATCTCCAGATTCCTCAATCCTGTAGACATATTTCACCCCACTAGCCTGTCCATCTTTTAGCTTATTCAAGCCTGTCAGAACACTATTTAACCCTCCTGGAATAACCTCATACGGGTGTCCCTTCAACTTTCCAGCTTCCAATAGACGCCCGAAATATCTAGACCAGATAAACCCGAGGTCCTTATGGGTCGAGAAGACCTTGGGAACAACGGTGTTGGAAACTTCTACGCCATCCGGGAACTTGAAATCTTCCCGAGTGTTCGCGAAATACTGGAAAGGCATTACGGTGGCGATGCTGCCGCCATTAGGGTCAACAACCCGAGTAGTTACTTCGAACGACTCGCCCTCACTGATTGCGTCGAAAATAAAAGGAACTTTATTGCCCAGACCTTCCTTGGCGAGGATTTCTTCAACACCTGCGACTAATGCATCCTCGCCCTTCCGATAGTCAAGGACGTGGTCAGCTAAGGTCTTTGCGAAGTCACTAGCTCTTCCAGCAACTCCGATGATAGGACCAAGACCCGACAGTCGGGCGAGTTGGGCAGCGAATGCTCCGCAGGCCGAAGAGATACCGTATATGAGGAAAGGCACTTTCTTTCCTTCTGGAAACCCCCTCTCCTCAAAAGGAGAAGGAAGTTTCAAGTTAACATACAAAGCCATCATAGCAGTATGAGCGGCAGTGGGAATAGTTGCAGCCTCCTCGAAGGACACATTGTGCGGAAGATGGAAGGTTGTCCAGTCTGGAGCTACGGCATATTCTGCAAAGCTGCCATTTGCTGTCATGACTTCGTGGTACGCTACCACGCGGTCACCTGGCTTGAACTCGTAGACATCCTTGCCGACGGAGTGAACGATTCCAGCGATGTCATCGCCGCTGTTCACAGGTTTCCCGCTCCTATATAAAAGTTAGCTTTTACCAATTCCCAAAGATGCCGGTGTTAATGCTGGAAAATTCATACCAGTAAGGATATTTCCAGTCCTTTGGGTTCATTCCGGAGACAATGACCTTGACGACAACATATTTGTCTCTCGGGGTGGGAATAGGAGATTCGATAACCACGAATGCATCGAGAGAGCTTTGGATAACTACTTCTTTCATAGTGATATAGTTGTTGAAGAACTTAGAATTGATAGGATTTTCGAATAGTTGCGATTTAGCCGTTGTGAGATGTTGCTAGTAGAGTTAGCGATGTGTTGTTCACGAACAACGTATTTATACCCCTTTCTCTTATCATTTCCTCCCCATCGCTAGATCGAGGGTCCGCGGAGGTCAACCCTAGCACGCAGCATATTCGGAAGATGCCACTAGTAGAAGGAATATATTATTTATAATGTCCTCTTATGATTATACATGACGGAGTTAACCATATACTGGGTCGTTCACCGGGTAAGTCGATGAGGCTAACCCTAGAAATCTGACTAATGTTGTCCATCTTCCCATCTGTCGTGCTCCGTTTTAGTCAGGGGACTGACAGGGATTCACCGGACTCCGCGGATCCTAAAGCGGAGCTCCATGGACCTCACGCCCTCATCCTCTATGTATCCAGCAGTTCTCGATATTATCGTGTTAGTATGCAGTCTATTAGACAGAGAGCCAAGGCCCGTCCGGACCCGGTATCATGTCAATCATGTCGATCGAAAAAGTTGAAATGCAATCGGATCCAGCCGTGCTCGAATTGTGCTGCACGCGGCATCAACTGTCATTTCCTAGTTCCGCCCCAAAGACGAACAGAGACGGCTACTACAGAACACAATCTTGCGGAAATTATAGGAAGAATTGAGCGATTGGAATCTGCTGTTCTCAAGTCGCCTCCTCTCGAAGCTCACTCACAGCATGCGTCCGATGGCAACCGTCGTCACGCAAATCTATCGTCATCCACCCCCATTTCAGGTCACATCGTGGAGCCTGACGTCCACCACAATCGAGACAAAGATTCACATTTCCTAGAGAATATTGGAACAAGAGAAGATGAACTAGTATGTAAAATAACTCCCACGTTATTCCAAGTACGTAGGCCCCTAATCCAAGCAGATTTCTCCCTTATCTTGTAGCTTAGTCTTTAGAATCGGCGGAGCACACGAAATCCATAAAATGCGAGTCCCTGTCCAGCAGACAGTAGCTATCCCTGATCAATACCCGTTGAGCAATACCATTGTGACATTTCCAACATACCGAGAAGCAACCCTACTTTTCCAGAATTTTGAATCTAATATAGATCACATGTGTCGCATTTTACACATACCTACTATCCGGTCTCTTATCAAAACGGTTTATATGAAAATTAGCCAAGGCGAATCTATTCCGCTTGGACAAGCTGGTTTGCTGCTTTCTATCTTTGCGCTTTCTGGGTTCTTCTATCGGTGCTCCGAGGATTCCGAAATAGCAACTAATGAACAAGAGGCTGTACATATCTCAAAGGCCATAGGCAAGGCTGCCTTAGATGTCCTAGATTATTCACGCAGGAATACGTCAGGCACATTGGAAGATGTCCAAGCCTACATCTTCATTTCTCTCCTTTCGTTCCATCTTGATGGATTTTCGGCAAGAGGCCGTCTTTTATCAACTACGGCGGCTTCTATTGCTAGGGATCTTCGTCTACATCGGTTAGATGCCGAAGACGAGAACACTGCTGAGAAGACGTCCAGCGTCCGTGCTTCGATAGATCGCGAGGTTAGACGTAGAGTATTTTGGCATATTGCAGCCGAAGACTGGTATGCTTCGCCTCTCATATACTACCCTTTTAATATTGATGTTTCCATAGGTTACAGTCAACCATCAGCGGACCTCAAGAGGGCATGTACTTCATTCATCCGAATCATATCAACGTCAAGCTTCCAAAATACCATTTCCATGACGAAATTTCCTTGAGCGAGGAGAATGAGTCCATAGACGGTCCTCCACCAAGTGGCATGGCTTTTCTTCTCGAAAGGATTCGACTTGCACACCTGTGTAGAGAAGTGGCTGACACAGTACCACTGGATACATCAAAGGCTATGGAGATGCCATATGAGAATATCATAGCTCTTGATAAGAAACTACAAGATTTTATCTCAAGTCTTCCTTTCTTCTTTAAGACTGACCCCGAAAGTCGGGAGAAGAGTAGGATATTCGAGACAGTATATCCTTACATCCCTCATATGAGATATGCCATCACCAACGCAGCTCATAGTAGACGGTGCAAGCTACACCAAAGATTTCTACTACGACAGTCTCATGATTCCCGGTATTCTTACTCGAGATTGGCTTGCTTAGAATCAGCATGTGCCGTCATTCAGGGGTACGAAGATCCGACCGAGTTTGATTCACCTGCTTACGCGACAGCCCGAATGGGACTGGCTATGCACTACATGCATCTTGCGTTGGTAGTTATGGTTATGGATTTATGCTTCAATAGACACGAAGTAGACGAGATAGAGATCAAGGCTAAGGTGAGGGCGGCTTTCCAGAAGTTTGATGATGACAGACACATCTCTCCGCTTCCTAGTCGTTTCCTAAGTTCATTACGCGACGTCTTGCAGAAGCATGAAGTATATCTGACCCATCAAACCGCTTCAACACCCGAGAATGCTGCTGGCGTAACCAGTGGGAGTAGTGCTGGTAGCTTCAGTCTTCTTCCTGACATCCAGATGCAGCCGGAGCTTAGTCTAGATATGCAAACCACAGAGGGTGGCCTTGATGTTAGTTCCTTCGACGAATTCTGGCAGTTTGCAAGTCAAAGCGAGATGAATCCCGATTCGATAACGTGGGATAACCTGTTCGCAGCTCTCGATGCGAGGCCCATATGATGGAACTTGACGAAATAACTCGCCTCAAGGAAACCTTCGAAGAAACGAGGCACCATTTCTCGAGTTCTTTATTATACCATCCCATGCCTTGGGAAATTTGTGGTCGTATTGTTTTTTGCTAGGGCGTTTATTACGAATCATTGCAGTCCATGATCCTATGCGTAGGCAATGTTAACTCTACCTGAGCTGCAGCAGTCGGGACCGAACTTAAACGAGGTAATTTTTACCTCCTCCTCCTCCTCGAATAACGCGGAGATATAAGGATTTGACAGTTTATGTATGGGGTGGCAGGTTGTCCTTGCGGGCCGTAGCCGATGCCGGCCCAATTAGACTGTTATTCAAATGCAGTTGAGAAGGGTTAAAAGAGGTTGGCTAGGGAAGTGATTGGTAGTTGGGTATGTGACAGAAGTTAATAAACGGTTGGCTGCATGGTACATTTCATAGAGTTAGGATGAATACTTCGATTTTACTCTACCAGACTAATATAATCCCGCTGTTTCGACCCCGAGGCGGCTTTCCGCTTAAATCGAGAGTCTATAGAGTCGTTAGGATTAACTATTTAGTTCTTACAGCTGTTAGGAAAATGTCGTAGAGATTCGCCGACCTGAATATGGTATTGTTTGTGGGATAGTATCAACACGACGTCAAACTTAAAAATAAGGACGACGGGCACGCCAAGTACTCGGCTAGTTTGGGAACGGTTCATATCTCGTAATATAGAGTTTAACATGGATTGGGGGTAGGGAGCGCCCCTAGAGAGCACCTTAGTCGAATCTCAGAGGGATTATAACCAAGTCACCTTGAGGAGCAACAATCTGAGGAGCTATTTCTAGTAATATCAGCCAAGGATATATCCTGTTGGGTAGAATGCAATTCTAAGGATAGTTAGCACCAAAAGCTTAATCACCCTCTAAATACGATATTGACGGTAGAGTTCCCTTGTAGGGCCGAATAATACATCCGTTTTAGTGGAGGAGGAAGTCGAGCACTAAGGAGCAGTTTTTGATTTTTCACGAGATGTCTTAATAATTACCTCGAGTTTATTCTTGGGGAATTAAGCAAACCAAAGGTTCTTTTTGGTCATACAATTATGCTATGGGTATAGTCCGCTGTAGGTATAGTCCACACTTTGATACATCCGGACGAAACTACACCATAAAATATTTGTTTATTCCCCGAATCCTCGGCGCCGTGTATATGTAGATTACACTATAATCATAATCAGGCACTCGACATCTTATTACGGTAAGAGTAGTTTGCACGACTCATTCAGGGGTTGGCCAACGTTAAAATACGAACCTCGCATAATGCACACATCATCTCTCTGTTTGAATTGCGTCAACATATTATATCTTTTGATTTCACGAGATCTAACTATGCTATGTGGAGTCCTTTTTGCCGATCTCCCCTTCACGAACACCAGGATGTACGTCCCCGTGCCTGAGCTTGGAATTATGATTGGAATATCATCATTAGACCCTCATGAGCACCCGAACTCACCTAATAACATTGTACGTAGTACTGGATATGCCTGCGGAATGATGAGCCGCACCGAGAATTATCCTATTTACTAATACAAACTTTCATCTCATGTTAGACTGTCAGTTCATGACGTTGCTTCTCGAATGTTTCTAAAACTAGAACGGAAATCAAGTTTTTCAGTTTTCTCGTATCAAGGCCTCCCTTATCCCTGGGTATCTGAAATATAAGCTCGATGGCTTCTCTATCTTTTGCTTCAGCTTAAGTTTTTCTTTTCTTCAGTCTATCGTTTCGGGGCAACTTTTTATATCTGACCCCAAGAATCTTCGAACAACAGCCCGAGTGTTTGGCTGTGATAATACCGTTAAAATGATACGGGCAAGCAAGCCGCTTGTTCTGTCCTCCATCGTGAGCGGCGCATATTCCCTCGTTGCGCGCCAGAGTGGATGTAGCTTTACGCTTTCGACAGGTGGCTCATTCACTGGCCAAGTTGGCCAATATGACGGTGGTCAGACTAAAGGTGGACTTCCCGGAACTAGCGTCGTACAGTCTGGGTTTGTTCTGAATGGCGATACGATATCCGACTCCCAAGGTCGCGGTTGTTGGTGGACTCCGCCAAGTACTGTGCTCCAATGTGACGCCGGCCAAAACCCCGAAGGCGGATTTGCTATCGGTTGCAATGGGGAGTTGACGTACAATGGCCAGTCTAGTTTCTGGCAATGCGCCACGGGAGAGGATGGTGTGGTGATGATATACCTGTGGCCTGGAGGAACCAACTGCAACAAGATTTCATTGATAGCGAGCGGGTGTTATCCTTCATCGTGTGATTCGGGGTCGGGTCCAGGCTCAGGCTCAGGATCAGGTTCTGGCGCTTCGGGAACTGCTCCGGCTATAGGCTCGACATACCCCGGAGCGAGCGGTACAGCTCCATGGAGTGGTGGTTCGAATATGCCTCCGGGTGAAACAGGAGGGTCTGGAACTACAGGGCCTGGAGATACGGGAACTGGCCCCCCGGGTGCCACCTGGACTTATCCTGGAACGCCCGGCACTATGCCACCCGGTGGAGGCGCACCCCCACCATGGTCGACTGGTTCCGGAGGCGGCTCAGGTCCATGTATGCCGATGACAACTACTGTTTTCGTTACCGTACCAAATACGAACTGTGTTTCTACCGTTACTGAGTGTCCTGGACAAACAGCTCCTCCGGGGGGCACTGCTCCCCCAGAGTCTCCAACTACGGAGGCTCCGCCACCAGTAACTACCCCGGAGATGCCGTCAAGTACACAAGGAACTTATCCTGCTACTAGCCCCCCAGAGACGCCCTCAAACACACAAGAAACCAGTCCTGGCACTAGTCCTCCGGAGACGCCTACAACGGAAATTCCCCCGCCGGAAACTCCCACGACGCAGATGCCTCCGCCTCCGCCTCCGCCTCCACCGCCTATGACAACTCCTATGACTTCTCCGGAGATGCCGACAACCACTCAGGAGACAAGCCCCCCAGAAACCACGCCGGAGGTTCCTCCTACGACTTCTCCGTGGACTTCTACATGGACGTCGACAGTACCTACTTCTCCGTGGTATCCGACAACGGCTATTCCTCCACCGGAAACACCTACGACAACTCAAGAAACTAGTCCTCCGGAGACCACACCACAGCCTCCTCCATCTGGAACGAGCCCTCCTATGACATCGCCTGAAACACCGTGGATTTCTACTACCTCGTGGTATCCAACCACAGTTATCCCACCCCCATCGAATACACAGGGAACAAGCCCGGGAACGTCACCGCCGGAGACACCCGTGAGCCCTCCGGAAACACCGTCGGTTCCTACTACTCCGTGGTATCCAACAACAATTGTTCCTCCACCGGAGACTCCCACCACCACAGGAGGAACAAGCCCCGAAACATCGCCACCGTGGACTTCCACAGGCCCAGGTTACCCCACGACGGTTGTTCCTCCGCCGGAAACACCAACCACTACGCAATGGACAAGTCCTCCGTGGACAACACCAGAGGTTCCTCCGCCCGGAACGACTCCTGTAACTTCTCCAGAGACACCGTGGGTTCCTACTACTCCGTGGTATCCGACCACAGTCGTGCCACCACCGGAAACGCCCTCGACTACGGGAGGGACAAGCCCCCAGTGGTCGTCGCCGGGGACTCCTACAAGTCCAGGGTACCCCACGACAGTTATCCCTCCACCAGAGACGCCGACAACTACTCAATGGACAAGTCCTCCGTGGACCACGCCAGAGGTCCCCCCGCCTGAGTCGACCCCTCCCACAACGTACCCAGGCGTTCCTACAACTACCCAAGAGACAAGCCCTGTAATGTCCAGCACGGAAGTTCCGCCACCGGCAACTTACCCTACGACGGTCATTCCTCCCCCAGAGACGCCCAGCACGCCTCCAGAGACACCTACAACAACTCCATGGTACCCCACCGGTCCTCCCCCCCCCCCTCCTCCCCCGGAATCGCCAACGACAAATGTCCCCGGTACCACGCCTCCACCTGTGCAGACTAGCGAGACTTATCCAGGTACTTCTCCAGGGACCTCTACATTCACTAGCTCAGAGACGGTAGTAGTTCCCGAGTGCCCATCGGAATCGACCGAGTGCCCCAAGATGTCCAGCAGCAGAACCTGGAGTACCTGGAGTAGTACCTGGAGTAGTACCTGGAGTAGTACCTGGAGTAGTACCCCTGGCATTCCTGGTACTTCAGGTCCTGGAACTTCGCCGCCTACTGAAACTACACCACCCGTTTGGACTACTAATACAGGCCCCTCGACTTACCCAGGCACCACACCTCCAGTGGAAACGAGTCCTTCGTCTACGTGGACTTATTCGACTACATCACCTGGAGGAACGGGCCCTTCATCTACGTGGACTTACTCAACTACATCAGCCCCCAGTGAAACCACGAGCCCGGGTATTTCAACAAGTTGGACCTCTGGAGAATCAACCTATCCTGGCACATCTCCCGTGACATCCCCTGGATCATCTACCACAGTCGTGGAGACTACCACTACAAGTTCGTGCCCGACAACCTCTACCTCACCTGGCGAGTCAACAACCAGCGTCCCTGGCATACCTCCTATCACAAGTGAGACGACTCCAGGTGCCTCGACTTATCCTGGAACATCTCCAACAACCTGGACGACTCCGGGAGGTTCAACTTACCCAGGCACATCTACAACAGTAGTAGAGACCGCAACTACTAGTTCGTGTCCGACAACTTCAACCTCACCTGGAGAGTCGCCCACTACTAGTATACCAGGTGTACCTCCAACTACAAGTGAGACAATTCCAGGCACAACTCCGGGCACGACTTACCCCGGCACATCTCCGACTACTAGCATTCCAGGTATACCCACAACTTCAACTTGGACGACGCCGGGTGGTTCAACCTATCCTGGGACGTCTCCAACTACGAGTGTCCCAAATACACTGCCCACTACAAGTGAGACAACTCCCCCAGGCGGTACGACCTATCCTGGAACATCTACAACGGTTGTGGAGACCACCACCACGAGTTCTTGCCCGACAACTTCGACTACACCTGGAGAATCACCGACTACTAGTATTCCGGGCGTGCCTACCACTATGAGTGAGACCACTCCGGGTACAACTCCAGGCACGACTCCCGGGACGACTTATCCCGGCACATCTCCAACTACCAGTGTTCCAGGTGTACCTTCTACATCAACCGCACCTGCAGAGACCCCTAGCACTCCAGGTACTTCGACTTACCCTGGTGCGACTACAACTTCGGGCTCGACCACGGAAACGGAAGTTCCAAGTACGACACCCGAGGTTCCTACGACGTCACCTGGATACCCTAATACGTCGCCTGGGGTTCCTGGAACGTCGCCTACTACGCCAAACGGATATCCCACTACCTCAGCTGGAATCCCGACTCCCTCATCCCCAACTTCGGAAACGCCTCAGGTGCCAAGCACGACAACAGCGCCCCCAGAGGAGTCCTCGAGCGTTCCTAGCTATCCAACAGGGTCACCGCCGCCGCCAGAGACGCCAGGCACTCCAGGGTACCCGAATGGACCACCATCTGGTCATCCGGGGTATCCAACGGGACCGCCGCCGCCGCCACCGGCAGAAACATCGAATACTCCAGGTTATCCGAACGGACCGCCGTCTAGTCAACCAGGATATCCCACAGGACCACCTCCTCCACCACCTCCCCCACCGGCAGAGACGCCGAGCAACCCAGGATATCCGAACGGACCGCCATCTGGCCAGCCGGGATATCCCACTGGCCCACCACCCGAATCTGGCCCGCCGCCTGCATCTAGCCCTCGTATGCCTCCTCCGCAGCCAACGCCCCCGGCTCAGTCTGGTGGTCCCGGTAACCCCACTGGACCACCACCACCGCCGCCACCGCCGCCGCCGGAGGTAACTGGTAGTGATGACGGAGATAAACACTCGTCGGAATCGGAAGGAAATAATGCCCCCGAACAGTCCAAGGACACAACATGGGCGCCGTCTAAAATTCCCAGACGGGCGACAGGCCTTTTCAATCGTGCCCCGTCTTCTCCAACCTGTCCCGGCGAGCTGACCGGCCAATGGGAGTCCCCGGATCTAATAATCGCCGTTGACAGTTCGCGCCCGAACAAGGCATACGGATCATCTATCTCGGGCGAGGTAACATCCACGATCTCCAGCATTTTCAAGTTCCACGTCCCAGCCAGCGGCAGCGGTAAGACATGCAAGCTCGTGTTATTCTTCCCCGAGGAGGAGGCAGAAGACGCACAGCCCTCATCGTTTGATGTCACTGGCTCGGGAGCAGTCGAGTTCTCACGTCTCGACGGCGATGTGGACCTAGACACAACGCGGGATAATCTCCCGGACATGGCGCAGAGCTACAACCGCCTCACCATCGCGCCAGGCAACGCGTACACCATCGAGTCCTTTGCGTGTCCCAGCGGCGAAGACGTAGTCGTCGAGCTGAGCAGCGCGCCCGGCAGTCAAACCTCGCTACGGTTCGCGCAAGACTCGACTGACGCGTGCCCGCTTGGCTTGTTCCTGGTAGCGAGCGCGCCGAGAGATGTGGAGTTGTGAGTGAGTGAGTGGGTAAAGGAGATATTAAAAAAGAAAAGAAAGAAATGAGAAGAAGAAATTGATTGGAATGCATCTCATCTCGTCTACAGCACGGAGGCTGATTGACTAACAACAGCGTAATAATGGAAATGTCACCGCACGTATGGACGTAAGCATTAGCTTGCGGTGTGGGACATGCAATGTATGTACATGGTAATAGGAATAGTAATAGGTAGCCGTCATTAAGTCAGATTATTTCTTTTGTCATCTATGACAATTTTCCCAGGTTGAAGATATCGTGATTGTGACATTGCGGATTTATTTTTGTGTTGTTACGCGGACATGCGTATTCGTATTCTTTCAAGGAATTGGAACTTATTAGGTAACCATCTCTAGCCACTATGCCCCTGAATTTGATCAGCAATGTGGCTAAGGCCTATGGCTGGTAGTAAGTACATTTTAGGTACCAGGTATTCCCCTTCACCAGTTCAAACGCGCAATCAAACCGAAGATTCCTCTTTTAACAAGATATAGCTACATGTAGGATACCAATATAATATGAGGTAGTCTCCATATTACGAAAGTCTATTATAGTCCATTTCCGCGATTAAGATATGTCTACCACAACCTTTTCTTCTTTATCTTTAATAACACATCCCAGTCCGTTTACCCTCTTAGGGAAGACGTTATCGCGACCGCAACCTCTGCATCAGTAGCGCCGGAAATGGCCGGTCAAGATCGACCTCGTTGATTCGCTAGAGATTGTCGCCTCGGCTCGCACTACATAACTACCTGATAGGTAGGTAGGTATTTACAAAGACCATGCCGTCGCCGAGCGAGCAAGAACCGCTACTTCGACATAGTCAACCAGAGTCGAGCCGCAGACTCAGTCAAGACCATCATCTTACTATGGCTGCAGCAGAAGACAACCCCGTGCCGAATGGTGGCGGCAGTGCCGTTAGCAATATTGGACCTGATGAAGCCCGCCGTATCTTGCGGCGCATTGATTGGCGTATCATGCCGCTTCTCTTCCTCACTTACACCTTTAACTTCATGGACAAGACCATCTTGTCAAGCGCGTCTGTGTTTGGTCTGAGGGAAGATACTCACCTAGAGGGCTCCAATTATTCCTGGGTATCCAGCGTCTTCTATTTTGGTTACTTCCTCTGGGCGTACCCTACGACACTGTTAGTCGCTCGCCTACCGATAGGAAAATATCTTGCCGCCAACACATTCGTATGGGGTGCGGTAGTCGCCTTAACCGCTGCGTGCTCCAACTTTGGTGGCTTGATCACAGTGAGGTTTTTCCTCGGTATCGCCGAGGCAACTATTTCGCCGGCTTTAATGTTCATCACGTCTACGTGGTACACTCGAGATGAGATTCCCGTTAGGACTGGTATTTGGTTCGCAGGGAATTCTGTAGGCGGTATTATCTCGTCGCTACTTGCCTATGGAATTGGTCATATTTCCGACAATATTCATCCGTGGCGTTGGATGTTCATCATCCTAGGCGTTGCTACTTTTCTCCTAGGGTTCGGGATACTCTTCCTATTGCCCGATACTATTTCGGGGACTAAATTTCTAACTCCGGAAGAGCGACAGTGGGCGGGAGACCGAGTTGTGATAGCCGGTACAGGTCGCACAGAAAACGCGACCTGGAAATGGGTGCAGATGCGAGAATGTCTGCAGGATCCCAAGACATGGCTTATATGGTCCGTCGCACTACTCTGCCAGATTCCCAACGGTGGCACCCAGAATTTTGCAAACTTGGTTATTAAGTCGTTTGGGTTTACGTCACTTGAGTCGACGCTCATTAATATTCCCTACTCCATCATTTCTGTGATAGCCATCTCCGGAACCGGGTGGATAGCCGGACGCTTCCGATCGATGAATTGTATTCTCGTCGGTCTTGTTGTTATTCCACCAGTTGTCGGGTCTGCGTTGATTGGGAGCCGAAGCTCGATTCCCCACGGGGTCTCCCTGTTTGGGTATTTTCTTCTATCCACCGGACCGTCTGCATTGCCACTGCTTTTGTCTCTTGTCCAGTCCAATTTCCGAGGTGTCACAAAGAAGATGACTATGACTGCGTTGCTGTTTATTGCCTATTGCACTGGAAAGTATGTAACGACCCCCCTATCGTGCATACCATCCCTCGCCGCCCTAGTTTGCCACAACCAAGTTATGAACCCTTTAGTTCTTTTCTTTCTTTAGAGACCGCTTACTAACCTCCTTAGTATCATTGGCCCTCAATTGTTCATATCCAGCGAAGAGCCTACGTATAACACGGCGTTCCGTGCAATTATGATATGTTACGCTTTGGTGATATGCCTCATTGCGATCCTCAGAGTATATCTCCAGTTAGTCAATAAACGGAGACAACGAGAAGAAGGGATCCAAGGTAGCGCCGGAGCTTCTGGTGCTGTTGGTGGGGGCAAGGTGGTCGACATTGCCGATACACGTAATATGGCTGAAACAGTCAACGAGGTTCAATTGAGACCAGAAGACTACGAGGATACAACGGACTGGAACAGTTTTGGGTTTCGCTACAGACTCTAAAGCACCTCAGATCCAAAGAAAATGCATCTATCAGAAACTCATTCGGAGTCTGGAGTTTCCTTAACCTGCAATCTATAATATATAAGGCAACCTCAACTAATACCCAGCTTCCCATCTCCCCAGCTTCCAATAATCATCGCCGTTAGTTCCTGATCTATACGAATATAAGTTCCAAGACAGAATATGCGTTGACGTAGCTTCGGACCTACAATTTAAAGGATGCCTCGAGTGCTTCTCTAAATTAGACGCATGATATTTTCTCTTCTATCCCCAACATTCCAACACTAAATCGATTATATGACCGATAATTATTTATTACTTCCCATTGCAGTGCCATCATCTCTAATTAGAGACCTTTGACGTCTAAAATGGGTAGATATGTAGTCGGATCTCCCGAGGAGAAAGTCAAGCGGGCTAAGTTCGAGTTCCGTGGATCCTGTGCGAAAGCACCAAATGAGGAGAACATTAAGTTGCTACTCGGCGAAGAATGGTGCAGCAATGACATCAATATTACACTCTTGTCAAATGATTCTCATGCTTATAACTATCTAATTACGAAGCCCAAGGAGAACAAACTTACCAAGACTATCATACGAGTGATGCTACCGGTCGACCCCTATTTCAAGACGCAAGCCGAGGTCTCTACTATCGAATGGATCCGACAGTATACGTCGCTACCAGTTCCCAGGGTCTTGATATTCGATCCAACTGGTACTACCCAGATTGGGCTCGAATGGGTTGTCCTAGAATGCTTCCAAGGTCAAGTACTTCCTGTCGCGGCCGAGGCAGGCGAAGTCAATTGGGCTATGGTAAGCAACGAGAAGAAGCGGTCATTGATACGACAGTTTGTGTCCTTCTACTCCGCGACATTCGACCACCAATTATCCGCAATAGGTAATCTATATATGGGCCGTGCGACCGGAGTCCAAGAAGAAGATGATAAAATCGGTGTCATCGTCTCACCAGAGTTCTATATGAAAGAGAACCAGAAATATGACCACGGCCGTGGGCCATTTCGAAACAGTGCCGAATGGCTCAAAATACGCCTGGACATGAAGTACAAAGACTGCCTGGCCATCCCGAATGCAAACGCCGTTCTTAGGGCTGGACACATTATCGACCGCTTGAAGAGATTGAGAGAGAGGCTCTTTGATTCCACACTCTTCGAGCCCACCGTGCTCACGAACTGTGACATAGGCCCGACCAATATCATGATGAATCACAATAGACTAGTCGGGGTAGTGGATTGGGAGCATACATCTGCTCTTCCACTGTGGAAAGGGTGCGAACTTCCCAAGTTTCTGCAAGGAATAAAACGTACCAGAGAACCTGACGAGAGAGAATATCTGGATGAAGAGGGCGAATGGTTGGCTGGGGCCAGAGACGACTTCGCCAAGCATATGCTACAATGGTCGCGAACAATGCTTCAAAAGATGTTCCTTGACGAGATGTCCCGGAAGTGTCCCCAGTGGACGGCCATTTATAATTCTCCAATTACTCGTCTAAGGAAGGACTACGATGTCGCGGTGAGCTCCTGCGACAACGTAGCTACTCAAGCTGCAATCGAGAAGTGGCTCTACACTATAGAGTCAGGCTTGGAAAACATTCGGCTTCAGGACCCGGGAAAGGCTCGTGCAGATATCTCGAGCCTGGGCTTCACCATTCGCAGCCTTCAGGATCGTATCTACGATAGCGCAAACGTATCCGACACAGCAAGACACCCCGCCACAGGGCCAGAATCACATATATGGAATCTATCTTGATAGGGGAAGGAAACTGTTTACAGACCAGGCCCCTGACTAGTACTGCCTGAACTAACATCTTTACAGTATCCTCAGAGGCTAGCTCGCGGTATTATTGCTCGGAGGGATCGAGTTGCATGCTTTCTTTGGGAGGATCCAGGACTAAGGTTCGAGAGAAGGTAGGTAGCCAATCAAGCAGCCATAGTTAATACCAACCAAGCCAACCACCGCGTACCAAAAGAGCTTGCTTTCCTGGATCTTGGATCTGGCAATTTACAGAGGAGCACGGATCCGACCCGAGTGCTGCATGTCTGCAATATCGAGTGGCAATGCTGGTAATCGTCATGACTCTAGACTCCCGGAGCTGAAGTCTAGACTTGAGCTCGCCCACGTCGCCTGACCTTGCCATAGTGATCAGGTCCCAAAAATAGCTTGTTCAAATTGTACATGGTATCACGATGGATTCCAAGCCAAGGTATACGTCCAAAGCTCCACAAGACTTTCTCCATCATTATCGGGGGGGGTTCTTTTTTCTTTCGGATACTGTGATGGTCTTCCCGGAGCCTTTCTTCGCAATGCTACCACGTAAGCAGCTCAGGCTCCGGACGACGTCGTCGTTGCGAAGCTTGGCGGCGCGGACTCGACTTAGTCAACCATGAGAAATTGTCGCGATATGTCGTGTGTGTGTAACGGGGCGAATTTGAAATATGACGCTTCTGCTTGGTCCATTCGTTAGCCACCGAGCCCTCCCTCTTTGTCTTTTTCGTGGAGCCGATAATAGATCATGACGCATCGTCGGCCTGCAGGCACGAGGTTATCCCTACAGGATGGATGGGGGTGGTGTTTTTTCTTCTTCTGGGCTTCCCCCCCTTGTAACACCCATAGCCGACCCCTTGGTGTTCTTTTAGGGACGATGCTATTCGCTCTGCTATAATTAAATGCGGGTAGAAAAGGCAAATAAGAGAGCTTCCTTTTTGTTGTTGTTGTTTTTTTTTTCCCTCGCTCGCTTCGATTTTGCATTTACCCCGGCTTTGATAAACCTCCCCTTTCCTCGCCCCCTTGTCCGTCAATATACGGCTAAATGGATGGCGGGCTCTCAACGTCGCCTTCCTGCTACCCCAACCGTCATTTCCTCGGCCCTTGCTGCTCCAATTTGATGTCTGTTTGCGGCCTTCCGTTTTCCGAATCGAAGTGGCTGTTCGCGGGACGCGGAGGCTATTTTGTCAGCGCTGCTGCTGGGCCAAGACTCGACGTTGCTACCGTGTGTGATGTAGAGTAGTAGGGTGCTTTCGAATATGCAATTCGCAATTCCACGATGATCTTGCGGTTTAGACGGCTCAAAACGTCTTCTGCTCCCCTTTTCCTTGAGCCTTGCTAGCTGGTTACCTGTCTAGGTAGGTAGGTAGGAGGTAGGCAGCAGCCAGGAGGCATGCGGGCCCCGGCCCGCACTCCTTGTTATATCACCGCGCATCATTCTACGACGTTGGGATCCCCGGGGGTTCGAAACTCGCTCACGTTGTAATGAGCCGCTCGATGGGTATTTAATTGCTAGGTGCCTGGGATATCTTCTTCTGAGCATGTGCACTCATTCCTATTCTCTGCTGCCCCAGATAGTCTTTCTAGATATTAGGAGTGGTTGCTTGGTACCCACGTGTAATCTGTAAGCCCCCTATAGAAACTATATACTTTATATCAGGGTAGAGATCCTTATCTAACATGGTGCTCAGCACTCTCAAGTAGTATTCAAGGTCACGGTATTTGAGTACTCGTCCAGACTCGTTTACTCGGCTTCGATAGCTGGTTCTTCGAAAGCTTCAAGCTAGGACGTTAAGATGCGTTGGAACTTGGGTTTAACATGCGCAGCTGCGCTATTCGGCTTCGGTGCGTACCTACCTATTCTAAAGCATCGTGGAGATATTGGAGGGTCTTCAGACGTCGGTGGTTATGAAGAGCATTGGTTAACATTGACGGCGGAGATTTGTTTACAGCATCCGAAGCCAGCGCCGATGTATTCCGTGATCCCGACACCGGGTTCTCGTTTTCTCAGAAGGACGTTGCTATTACGACGAACAACAACTTCATCACGTTCCGTATTGCGATCCCGAGCCCAGCGCCCGCGGGCCAGCCCTACGATGCCGTGATCCAGATCGTCGCCCCTGTTGCTGCTGGCTGGGTCGGCGCCGCCTGGGGCGGCTCCATGACGAACAACCCCCTACTTATCGGCTGGGCTAACGGTGCAAGCGGCGTGGTATCTATGCGCCGAGCGACGTAAGTTGAATATTTCGCAACATGGAGAAAGAAGCCTACCTACCCTGTATACTTTTCCTACTCTCCCCCCCTTTTCTATACTTATTAGAAGAGATCCAAAACTAACCCATCGCAGCTCCCACACCGCCCCGACAGCATACACAGGCGCCTCGTTGCAGCTCCTCAAAAAGGGCACCAAGAGCAACAGCACGCACTGGCAAGTAACAGCCAAATGCACGGGCTGCACGCAATTCACCACCACGGGCACCACCACCAAGACGCTGAACCCCGCCGGCAGCAACCGCCTAGCCTTCGCGTACTCCAAGACCAAGCCCAGCCAGCCCGGGTCCGACAGCTCGCCCATCAACGTGCACGACCTGTTCAACTACTGGGACCACGACTTCGCCGCCGCCGGCAACCCCGAGTTCCAGGACCTGGTCAACAGGAACTTGTGAGTTTGAGTGTTAATTAATTACCTACCTACCACCTAGCTAGCTCCAGCGATGAGGAGGTATTCGGAAGAAGGGTTGGGGGAAGAGCGGGTTTTCTTAGAGAGAAACGTTATGATGATGACGATGATGACGATGAAGAAGAAGAAGAAAAAATAAACTTATTTATCTTTATTGTCTTGAGAGAACCCCTTCTAACACCGTCTTTGCGTTAAAGAAATTCTTCGCTTGCGTACGTCCCCGCGAGAAGCCCGAATCTGCGAAGAAAGGGTGGCGTTGTCGTGTAGTAAGGGTGCGTGTTTTTTTTTCTTCGGGTTTTTCAATATGATATATAGGTATACATATATACAAGTGTGGTCTAACATCTGCGCTGCGGATGGGGTTTTTGTAGGCATGTGTTCTTAAGATGTAGGTACCTAGATGAGGAAGAAATTGGGGAGGGAGGCGCTTGTGTGATTCATTCTACTGTCCTTCCCGCCGAGGATATCGTATTTAGTGTATAGGTATAAAATAGATTATCCGGACTCGGTCTCCCACCTACTATGGGCTTTCTACCTGAGAGCATGTAATGAGTTACCCTCAAGTTCTGTTCTGTCCCTTCAAAACATGACGTCTCGCCCTGAGGCTCAAACATGTCCCAGAAAACTCAGCTGGTGCTGTTGTATCGACTGCAGAATCGGCATGTCCAGTGACATCGCGCTCAAAGTATTTATAGTCTATGTATTTATAGATGCATATACATACCTACATACCTACCTACATATGCGTCCCATATAGTGGGAGTTTCATTCAACTCATTTTACATTTTAATATCCTTCAAGATCACTTACACACAAGATTTCCGCGACGATAAATTCAAAATTGAAAGTTTAAATTACGTGGAATGATATCGATGACAACGGCTAACGTCTAACATATTTAACAATTTCAACAACAAAAAACAAACATTGACACCAACGCGCGTGCAAATGGCTGTTTCTCTATCTCGCTAGTACAGATGGCAAATCCTACCGGCGAAGCTTCGTCGAGGAGACGACGAAGACCAACTTTTCTCCAGCAGGATTCCCTCTGCCTAGCAAGCTTCCCGCTGGAGCGGTTCCGTCTAAGCCTTGATAGCCATCTCGCCCATGGGGAGAGCCGCGAGCCCTGGGATTTGTTACTAAGATATTCTCGGTAGTTCCAGAGAAGAGGGGGGAGAAACTTACAGCCGTCAACCGCTTCGGGAGCTTGTTGCTCCTTGGTGCAAGCGCTGTACTGGGCAGAGGTCTGGGCGTGGATACCGGCGGTAGCGCAGTCGGTGTTAAGACCGCACGAGCCGATGTTGTCCATGGCCTTCTGGAGAGTGTCACCCTCCCAGCCGAAGATGTAGTCGCCGTGAGCGGCAGGGCCACTGTAGAAAGTTAGTTGATTGCCTCTTATACGATGATAGTCTTTAATAATCGGGGTTTTCAGCTTACCCAAGGTTCATGGAGTAGACGTAAGGGTTGGAGCCGTCGGTGGGGAAATCGGCGGCGTTGGCGAACTCGGTGACGTTCCACATCAGCTCGTACATGATCTGGGGGAGCTTGACGGGGTGCGTGGACGGGCAAGCACCACCGCCGGTAGCACCGGAGCCGGAGCTGTAGGCGACGTGGCTCTGGTGGTCGGGGCTGTCCAGGTTCTTTCCATCCCAGCAGCTATAAAGCAGGTCAGCAAGTTTGAGCGAGGAGTGACACGTGTGCTTGCTACTTACGTAGGGAAGATGATGGTCTGTCGGATCATCTTGCAGCTCTTGGAGCTGGGGATATCAACAGTGTCGGAGCCAGTGCAAGGAGCACCACCGACGAAGGTGTCCTCGCTAGTCGACGTCCAGCATCGGTGGCAGATGTTTGACTTCTGGACTTTGTTGGGGTCGGTGTTGGCAGCGTTACCAGCCAACATACGGAAACCCTATCGTTTTGGTCAGGCAATCTCTATCAAAGAGTCTTGCTAATCATCTCATACCTTCTTGAAGGCGGTAGTCTTGCCGCTGGGGATGTAGTAAAGGTCGAGACCACCCTTGTTGATGAGCTTTCCTTGCGGGCCACCGTTGCCGACCTGGGGGACACGCTTGTAGGTTCCGTTCTTGGCCTTGTAGAACATGACGGCGGTCCAGTAGTTGGACTTGTCCTCCTTGAATGTGCACGATGTACAGGTGGAGGATGCCAGGTCGTGGACCGCGGGGTCCATGGTGACGTTCAGAGAGTTGCCACCGACCAGCTGGTGAAGATGAGGAGTGTACTTCATGCCGGGGTTGACCAAGGGGTCGATTCGGTCAACGACCAACTGGGAGCATGCGAATCGCAGCATGCTGTTTCCGAACTGGGCGGCGGCATTCTGCGCTAGGAGCGCTGCGACAGCGAGCGAAGTCAGCTGCATCGTGACTGATTTCACCCAAGACGTTGATCGATGAGCCTTAAGAGTTAAGGAGGTGAGAATGAGTGAGACGTTGAGCGAGCAACGATGATTTGCTGAGAAAAAGCAGCGATATATGCACGGTTGCAGAAGTAGAATCCGGGGATCTGAAATCTGGGGAAGTTCGCGATGCCCGTCGTACTTGTATGATCCGTCAGAGGGTATGATCCGTGAGAGGGCTCTCTCGCGGGCTCACGCCTACGAACTGCCGAGCGCGAAGAATTCGTTCGAAGATTTCCTTCACTTGGACGCAACAAAAATATCGGCAACTATTGGCTA